AATGTTCTTTCTATTGATTTTATAGTATAAAGATCTTTCAACAGATTATTATTGCATTTCTGAGAGTTTTTCTAAAGGATCTACATATTATTCTAAAATAGTATTGTAGTGTGGGTTACTTATATCCATATAAGTAGTATATAATTGTGGTCAGGCATAGAATGTGTTTCAGTAGAAGATCGATAAAGAACGAAAACGGAACGCGATTAGTATGAAAATGAATGAACAATGAAATCTGAGACAATGAACTGATATTTGTAAAAGGAACAATGAAGTTTGAGACGATGGATTGATATTTTGCAAATTAACTATGGTTCTCAGATTTTAGTGAGATACCCTGTCATTTCACATCTAATACATTCGATTGTCCCTATTCGTGTTCTTGTTCACTACAGTATATCATAAGAGAGAAATAAATCTTATTTCTCTAAATTAAGATAAGTTGCACAAGCAAGTGGCTAGCAGGACTCAGTAGCTGAGTGGATAACGCGATTGCGTTTGAAGCGAATGATACTGGGTTCGAGTCTTAAATAGGACGAGACCAACGTCCTGGATTCCACTGTTAGCCACTATACATCATTGCTTAATAAAAGCTTGTGAATTAAGGCAATATCAAGGCATACGCACAGTATGCACATATGCCAATTGCAGACTGATCAATTGCAGTCTTAAACCTCAATGGGAAGATACAAGCCAAAACAATACCAAAATAAGTTAAACTGAATAAAGAACTAATTCCCATGGTGATCAAATTTCCTGATTTAAATAGATATAATAACGAATTAATAAATATTCACCTTTTGTTACCGATTCATTTTCAATTATGTAAATAATTCCATATATATAAACAATAACAAGAAAATAAATCAGAAATTGACGGTTTTAGCATCGATCAGTTTATCTTACTCAGAAAAAACGAAGATAAACAAGTTAAATTAAATTAATAGATGAAATGAAATTCAATAAATAATACTTTTTGTTAGTACTGGTATTTGAACAATGTAAAGAAGGGAATTAAAACCAAGGAATGATGAGAGTGTTAAATGTATCACTTTTGCACGTAGAATTCGAGTATGAATTAGTGAATCGTCAATGCCTTAGAATTACATAAATTTTTGATTCTACTTCAACCTCTCATCCTTCCTTGACCTTTCATTCTCTTTAGGGTACTGTTTAAATACAAGAACCATCAGTTTCAGTTCGATACATTTACATTCGTCTTGATGAAATAATGGTTTTTGTTGAAAATTACAAATGCAGGCATTTCGATTGTTAATGAATTACGAAAGTATCAATTAATGGAATATCAAACTCCACATCATCTGAATTGTTCATACCCATTGATCACTGAGTAATAACCATAGTTAAGTTTATCTAATCAATCTTATTACAGAACAAATTCTATTGACCAAGCTCTTGTCTAACTACAAAGCTGATTACACTTTACAAAAGATAATGTTTTGGAACTCTATCGAATTGTATAGTCTCACTAAGTTCTTACACTTGTTTAACATATTTTAAAACAGGAGTTAAATAAATTTGTTAATAATTACCTAACAACTTCTTATTTATCATGTAAGTTGCTTTGAACTACTTGTAAGTAGTATATATTTCATAGCATAATTAAAATTAAAACATGGCAGATTAAAATCATGTTTATGTAAATATCTTTTTTAAATAAGAATATGAATGATCTTAATGCAGACTGATTGCAGTTTATTAACCAATTTTGCTTTTGTTTAACTTTCAGCACTGAGATTTAGGCAAGTTTAGATTGATCAATGCACAGTTGTTGACCAGTTCTAACCTCAATCTCACCTAAAATAACTCAATGGTAACAGTTCACTTGATCTGTATCAAACATCTATTATGGTCGTACATTACACCCACGTATTATGATTCTCAGTATATTTCAATGACAATATATATTCATAACTTCGTCGAAAAACCACTGTTGTATTTGAAAAAATTGATTGATTGAACTAAAACATAGTTTATGGTTATCAGTGATCCTGTTGTTTACTTGAAATAGATTCGTGTTAGCTACAAAACATGATTATTCTGGGTTTTATCTACAATAATGAAAGTATCAAAAGGGGTTTTGTGGAGATTTTAGAAATTTCACTTGTTGGTTAAGCGCCTGGCGCGACTGATAGGTCCTGGGTTCGAATCTCGCGGGGTGCGGGATCGTGGATGCGCACTGCTGAGGAGTCCCATACTAGTGCTTCCAGGTTTTCCATGGTGGTCTAGTTTCAATTGACTCATGATTTCAACCAGTGAAATAATGAAAGTATATATTAAGATGCAACTCCCTATTTTTCACCGGCTATTTCGCTTATTGTAGCTAATGAAAAAAACTATTTACTAACTGCACAAAATCTCTGTCCAATCGTTCTAATAATTTAATCTGATAATTTTTTATCATGATTGCTATCAGTAAATATGTTTTTTTATTATTCTTAAAGATTATATGAGTTTACTTGTATTCACAACTAAACTTGTTCAGTCTCTGTTCCTATATAATCTGACATTTAACAGACACCTACATATCGAATCCAGTTATATGGTTTACATATATTTTGATAATGGTTAATTGTAGAATAGATGTTAAAAGATTTGTCTTCATATTGGGGTTAGCCAGTCAAATTTAATGACATCCAGTTGATATTTCTGAGATTAGATGGTCGTTGGAGGTAGTCGACAGGAAACCCTGGACCCGGGTTTCGTGCTACTTGGCACTCGTCAGCAAGGTGTACCTGTAATCTTGAAGGAACTGGTGCTCCCTGACGGATTCGATCTCGTGTCACCCAGCTTCACAATCAGAGATGTTATCACTGAGCTATCCGGGCAATCTAATCTCAATATATAGTGCATGCAGTGTTGAGTCACCTAGACTGGTGGCCACATTGCAACATGGTCGATAGCATTCGATCTGCACTAAATAAGGACTTGACACACATGATATTGATCACCACCCAATGATCAATCAATTGTGAAACGATATTTCTATTATGACTCCAATACAATATATCATTATTAAATACTAATGTGTAAGCTGTTAGGTTACGTAATCATGATAACCAATACTATATTCAATGTGTGTAATATTCATTATTACTTGAGAGAATCTAAAATTTTGAGATAAAATGTGATTATTTCATTCAATTTCTTCTTATTAAGTACATACATTGTTGTGACTTTTTATCACGTGATTCATCCGCTAATCAAAATACGACTTATACAATCTTAGCACTGTGCCAAACCAATGACGTTCAACCGGTATGAGCAGCCTAGCGTCCTTATTGGTCCTATGTCCGCCTAGCCCATCCACTTGAGTCCAGGACACCAATACAAGCTTCCAATATGCGAATCAAATCGAATTGAATCATTTATTTCAGATATACTGCGTTTATATATCAATCAAACAGACCGCAACGCACCATAAAATAGGAAATAACATTTGTACACAATAAAGCCAAAAAGTGACTGTGAACGTTGAAGGCACTAGTTAATAAACTGAACATAACGTAAGAACCGTAAATCGTTCAATAGTAAATTATAGGTCAAAGTAAAGCTTATAATAAGAGGAATATAAATATACATAATTTAATTATTGAATAATTATACCATAAGATTGTATAGATAATATTATGTCTCAGAAGTTACTCGTGATTGAATCTTCGCTCGGATACGACATATATAGTGGGGGGTTATCTCTTCTTTCACATAGAGAAATAAAATGACATTGATATATTCAATAAGTGACAAGTTCATTTATTAATTATTCATAAATACTATGGAAGATAAGTATTCACAAATAATCAAATTGGAATATATATGAAGAACTATGTCTCTATATTAATAACAGCTTATAAACGGGGACATTTCTGTTTCCATAGAAGATTACTATACTTCATCGTTTGGTTATCTTATAAATCTTTAGACTACATGAAAGCTATTGAATAGATTAATTATAAGTAAGTAGTAGTGTGACACATCAAGTGTTTTCCCATATATCTATGTATGTTAATTATTTAAAACAAAATCAAGATAAATCATCTAATCCTATCAGTATAAAATTGTGATGAATGATGATGATGATGAGATGACGAGATCAAAAACCAATATCAGTTAAACAAACACTAAGTACTTGGATACACTGAATGACCATTTCATCCTAGTTAGGAGATTTTTTATGAAAATTTACGATCAAAAATCTTTGGTTTGTCTCCAATTGAGGAACTGTGGTTGCACATTATTGAAGAGTAGCATAGTAAGGTGAAACCATCATCCAATGCGTCCAGATTTTCAATAGTTTTCTTACTTATATTGGTTCATAATCTTAATAGTTCCTGTTACATATTCTACAACCATGTGATTTAATCATTAGTTTTCCTGTCTAGGTGTGGACTATATTTGATACATTAAAAATTAAAATTTTTTTTCAGATACACAATGTGACATAATCATGAAATTATTACGTCAGTGTTTTTATAATCATCATATCTGATTGTATTCTCTGTGACGAAAAAAATATCAACTCGTGAATTAAAACATTGAAAGATTGGGGATTAATAAACTGCAAACATAAACTTTTTATTAACCAGTAGCCTAACATCCGATTATTGTTTATTTCTAAGTGAGGAAAATACTCGAAAAAAAATATATGAGGAAATAAAAATCAATAAGATGAATAAATTACCTAACCACGCCTGGTATATGGCACACCCGTTATATATGTATATATCATTATTACCATGACAACAATGATAAAGATGAGTATATGGGGTAGCAGTGATGGATCATAGTGGAGTGCTGTATTTATATATAAAATATGGCTTACAGAGTTTCTGTTACTTTAATCTAAGTAGATTTTTCAATGTGACTATAAGAGTTGACTTCTGTGGATCATTAAACTAGGGAATCTATTTTTAAATAAATCTTAAAAGCTTATTACTTTTATATGTATAAAAATCAAATCAGAATTTTGACAAGTATTCATGGCTGAAACTGGGGAAAAAACGGATACAGCTTTTAGAAATCTGGAATCACGATCTAAATCATCTGTCATGAAAAGAATGATTTTTGTAAGTTATATATATGTATATACCTTTTATTTGCTATCAATTAATCACAAAGGTTATTGTATTTTTTTTACAGTTGTTATGTCTTCTGGTTTAAATTTTGATCAGTCACTGTTAGTATATGGAAACGTTGAGTGGAAAACTCAAGACTATTTGTAGGTATACTTTATGTACATATATATACATATTGGATTGTGGCTAGAGAAGGAATCTAGAATTTCACTTTCGCCGTCATTGAAGACTCATCATATGGATGTACTTGTATCTTAATGTTAACATTTATACTGAAACACAAACTGCACTGGGTTATCCAATGAGTCGCTTATTCATGATGGCCATCAACTAATTCCATGGATATATTGTTTATTATTAATCATTATGACTTAAATTTCCTGTTGTTTAAGTTCGAAAGTAAAATAGAACAGTCTGATATTTCAAATTGGTTAGGAATTACAAATTTTTTTTATTATTGGGTAGTTTTACTAATAACATTGGATCCAAATTGGATCCAACCTACAGATCTTGAATAGAATGAAACTTATCACTAAGATTCTTTATAGTTTTTCGAACAGGGAAAACTCACCTAATATGGATTTCTGGTTCAGTGACTATTTATAGATCTGTGTAATAGTTCCTTAGTTACACTTATTGGGTTGTAAAAACTGATAAAATTTTACTGCGAAGATTTATACAAATTTGGATTGTCGAGTTGTTAATATTAATAATAGAAATTGTGATATGGTCCAACATCGAGATATTAATATTTACGTTGAATATCGAACACAGAACCTACCTGCAGCTTAAAATATCAATGAGGTTTAGGTTGAGGTCGTAAGTTACAGTAGCCATCATATTATTCAAATAGTAAGATATTATTTCTAGCTGTTTGTTATTAAATTATGAAGTGATCTAGGTTACACTACCACTGAAAACCTGGAAGCATTGAATGGCCGTTTCGTCCTAGTTTAGGACTCCTCAGTAATGTACATCCACGATCTTGAGCTGCTGAAAAGTTCCATACTAGGACGAAACGACCTTCCAGTGCTTCTAGCTTCTCACGAGTGATTTAACTTAGATAACTTCATGATTTTAATAAAATTCAATAATAGTTTCAATCGTAGACTGATAATTGTTTGTATTTTATGGTAATCGATATTCGTAATTAAATCTGATCAGACATTTTGACGAAATTTGAACGAATAGTATCACGATGGTTGGACGCCGAATGTTTAGGGTAAGAAGATTGTGCTTTTTAATGGTCTCCTCAATTGAAATTAGAAATAAATTCGTTATTTAGTTTGACATCTCATGCTTTATAAGAGACAACAATGTAGTTCGCTTTAATTAATTATTGTGCTTATGCATCCTATGAACTTTCGGTCTGTTTAACATCATCAGCACAAACATAAATTTATCTATTTATTTAAATTCCATCCACTCTGATAAATTCAGTTTGTGAACATCGATAACGTTAATTAGTTTTATCCTCCACTACAATCTATAGTTATATATACTCAATGGTTTTTCACATCGGATCTGCATATACATACAGACATTTCTTCCTTTACTAAAATTTCACAAGAAATGACTTATTTTGATAATTTTGAATTCATAACCTGAAATGGTTGAACAATCGTTTAGTGTAAAATGGTTCTGCAAACTCTATTTATATTCAAATTCACTTGGTATTGTTCGGTTTGTATCTTCCCATTGAGGTTTAAGACTGCAATTGATCAGTCTGTTATTGGCATACGCACAGTATGCACATATGCCAATAACAGACTGATCAATTGCAGTCTTAAACCTCAATGGGAAGATACAAACCGAACAATACCAAGTGAATTTGAATTCACCCCATTGCACAAGCAAATGGCTATCAGGACTCAGTAGCTAAGCGGATAACGCGATGGCGTTTGAAGCGAATGGTACTGGGTTGGAGTCCCAGAGTGAGCATCAACTCCGAGGTGCAGGTACATCCAGCTGACGGGTCCCAGACAAGATGAAACGCGCTTCCTGGATTCCATTGCTAGCCACTATCCATCATCGCTTGCAAGGAGTCTATTTATATTCATTGACTTTACTGCTGGATTATTTCACTACAACATCTCAAATCAAACTGAAAAACGAAATTTTGGAGTTACTTTCAATTTTCAAGAATAGAATTTTCTTTCTAACGTCTGGAAAGATATTTTAAATGGACTTTTATTAAAAAAAAGAAAAAATTATTTATCAGATTTTATTTTATCTTTGTAAAACACCATTTACACCTGTTTTCACTTATTTACGCCAGTTACTCCTAGTGGAGAAGTGTAAACCGAACACCAGCATTCTCCATCCAATTCTATTTTGAGCAATCCTTTCCAGTTCTTTTCAGTTGCTATTCATCCTTTTCATATCTGTTTCCAATTCTGGATACAGTGTGTTCTTTGTTCTTGCACTTCTTCGTTTCAATTCAGGATTTCAAGTTAGCGCTTGCTTTGTGATACAATTTGATAATTTCTACAATATATGTCCTATCCACCTCCAACATCTTTTACTAATTTCTTCTTCAACTGGAAGCTGATATAATAAGATGTTGCCTTTTAATTCTTCTACTATATGCTAATGTTTCACAAGTTCTACTGACATTTATTTAAGAATTTGTAAAGCTGAATCACTCTGTTTAGTCATAATGATCTTAGTGTATTTCACTATTTGTTTTCAATAATAGAAGATTTTGATCATTTATCAGCAAAATATTCAGAAGTCAAGAAAATGTTATAAAAGTACTATGATTTATTGATCCTCTTTAGATCATTGCATAAGAATCAATATCCTTATCCTGATTATAAAGTTACCAAATTCATTTATAAGTTTCTAAGAACTTGAGATCACAAATAACCATATATGTATATATACCATTATTTTCTTTACACTAACATCAGAAGTTCGGCTTTCAGTTTTACTTTCTGTTTTCAATAGTTAACTCAACGTTCAATGATGAAAGATTTTTATAGAAACTAGGAAGTAATGTAGATGTCGATGTTTAAGTGTTCATCATCAGTTTTCATATTTTCTTTTATGTCTTCTCATTTAGATGAGAAGAAGCTTTATGTCTTTTTTTTGTTGCTTATGTACACTAAATCAGTGTATATCGGCTTTATTCAAGTTCTATAATGTTATGTAAATTGATTCTACTATTAGTTTTCTGTATTTGTACTCAAATGCTAATGATAGCAACTGAACTATTCTCAATTCAGTATGAGATATTACTCTACTTTGTATGTTTAATAAATGAAATACATTTATTTATGTTAAACTGTTCAATTCATCATAATATAAATGTCAATGAGATGTAATAAGTGAGTTTGATCAGTGGCAAAATACAAATAATAACTATAGTTTCTATCATAAACTGGCCTTAAATAGAAAACCAGTAGGAATAGGAAAGAACTAGATAACCATTTCAAACTAGTATGAAATTGCTTAGTGGTTTGTACCTCCACGACCACTACTGGGGATCAAACACAAAGTTTCTAGATCTTATACCTAACTTTTCAACAACTGAGTCGACGTTGAATGATTTACATGTTTAACTTCAGTCAGTTGGTGATGTTAAACGATTATCTTTCAATGACATTTATGAGTAACTGCCTCACACCTGATATGTCTAGACTCTACTGATTATGGTTTCTCATTGGAATCCCAAGTATGACCTCACAAGATAAGTCACTAGTCCGTATATAATGATACTGAATTCATAAAATTAGCGTTAATTATGATACTTTAGTTCTAATATTTTGATACTGTTAGGTCGCGATAAGCATAATAAATGGTAATTTTGGGATCCATTTGTGGACCAGTAATATTCGTATATTTTTACCATATAATTGTTAATTAACTAAACTATTCATATTCATGTCTCTATTATCATAAGCTTTATTTTAACCTGTGAACTATTAGTATACGATTTACCGTTCTTGAATTATTCCCTATTTATTAATCACTACCTCCCTCATTCACAGCCACATTTGGCCAAATCTTGTACAAATGTTGTTTACATATTTTATGGTACGATGTGTTCTGTCTGGTTGGTATATTAACAGAGTATATTCGAAATAAATGATTCATATTGTAGAGGCTGAGATTGGTGTTCTGAACTTAACCGGTTGGGCCAGGTACGAACCAGGGCTAATAAGGACTCTAGACTGCTCATACAAGTTTACGCCCCACTGATCCAATCGATAAGTCGCTGCTCTCTAATTGGCGGTATCGTTACGTTATACACTAATAGAGCATACAAACCACAAGTTATAACAGATACTGAATAGTGCACAACAATATAAATAGTCTTATCATTATTCACTTTATAAGTCATAATAAATACAATGGTAACTTTTATCTATACGCACTAAAATAGCGATTTATAATGACGTTTACATAAGTAATCACAAAACGTTTTCCATGAATCCCCGAAATGTATAAATAAAGTGTTTTGAGAAAAGTTAGATGGTGGCTAGCAGTGGAATCTAGAACGCGCGTTTCGTCTTATTCGGGACTCGTCAGCTGGATGTACTTGCATCTCAGAGTAGATATTCATTTAGAGATCAATTACAGTCTTAAACACCAATCGGAAGATACCAGCAAACGATACAATTTCGATTAAATAATAGATAGTTCAAATGATATTTACAAATGTTCTTATCAAAAAAACTATTTTAATAGTTGAGAACATAAGTCAACTGGATCTAGACCACCATGGGAAACCTGGAAGCATTGGACGGCCGTTTCGTCCTATTGTGGGACTCCTCACCAGTACGCATTCACGACCCCGCCTCGCCAGCTAAAAGCACAGGACCTATCAGTCTTACGCGTGAGCGATTAACCACTAGACCACTAAGCTGATTGGCATCCAATGATGTTAATGTCTAATTTCAACTAATCCACAAAATTGACTGACACATCCACCATTGTCTTCAATGAGCTGATATCTCACAAAAGACCTGGTTGAACTCCACTGATCACTGCTTCTCACTATAACTTCAGGATATACCTCTTGAATTCCAGTCACTAGTGAGCATATATTGAATAATATCAGTATGGGATTTCATGGATATTATAGTAATTTACTTTTGTTTGTTTGTTTATTTTCGTTTTCATTTTATTAAGTGTTTCAATAAAAAATATAAACGTGAGAAACAAATCGATTTAGCAACGGAAAATTTAATCATCAATAAAGATACTGAAGTTGGTGAAAAGAAAAATGATACAAATAAACAAGACACAGAAGGTGAAACAAAGAAAAAATTAACCATACGTGAAAGAATTCAAAAGATACCAAGGTGACAGAAGTGTTTCAAATTTTTGAAGGTCTTAATCAATCATTGATGTATTTATTATTAGAAAGGGGGTTTTGTTAAGATTGTAGCAATTTATGAGTTAATGTAAGTTAAACCACCATTGAAAATTTGGAAACATTGGACGAGTGTTTCACATCTTAGTATGGGATTCCCTAGCAGTGTGCGTTCACAGTGTTATTCGTGGGAGTCTAAATAAAGGATACATTATATGAATATACTTTTCATAGAACTATGATAGTTCGTTTTTTGATATTTTTAGTTTTGTTCAGCTCATTGTTTACGAAAAATATCAATATTTTCATTAAATGATATGATAGTTGACAAATGGGATGGTGTTAGGTGATTGGAATTAGTCATGAAGATACTTTAAATCTAGGTTTCTTCTCATTTGAAACAAGTTAAGATCTACCTACAATTTCATTGGAACGTATGATCCATGTAAAAATCGAGAACAGATAGACTAGTAACACAGGGTTACCTTATATATGCCTTTGATCTTTAACGCAAAACAAATCCTATTAGTCAAACAGACCTAGTGATCAAGGTTTTAATGCTGTTGATTGATAATTTACCTATGACTCATGATCTCTAGAGTTAGTTATATCTTAAATAAACTTTGTTGCTGTTTATTTTTGTGTATTGACCATTTTTCTTATATACTGACATTCATTCACTATAAGTTTGTCATCCCCTACCGTTGTTGCTACCTTGACGTGGTGGTCGGGCTTACCTATCGTGATGAAGCAACCGAGCTATATTGGCTGGAACAACCGTTCCTCAAAGTCCTACCATGTCAGACAGGTCGGTTGAAGAGCGGTAAGACTAAGAGCAACAAACCTAAGGTCCGAAGGCGAAGTCGTACTGCTGACTGTACAGAAGTGTGACAGCAGTAAGGTGTTTCCTTCAGACAGCCAACATGACGACGATGCTGCCTTCTCACAAGGAGGGGTGGGGTTAGAAAAGGTTGACCCTAAAAATGCACACCTCGCCTTATCCCACGGATATCCGTCTCCGGCGGTAAGGTCTCAACAAGTACGGAGCTAACACAAAAATTATCCAGAAAAAGGTGTGACCGACCTCAAGCAGTTGTCCCTTGGGCGCTGCGCTCACGCTCTCAGGTCACTAAGACTACCTCTAATCCAATTTCCTTTTCAGGTACCTCCAGAAGAACCCTTCCACGGTGTGGGCAACCGGCAAGTGATAACCGCCCTCATACCTCTAACAGCACTCAAGACCACCAAGTTTGTCATCAATAACTCAGTTTTTTGTATTTGTTTGTCAGCAGACATAAAAATTAATTCAATCCACAAGATTAATCGAGAAGCGGACATAGTTACACAAACATTTCCTCTGTTAGAACTATAATCCTTAGTTCCCCTTATCTATATATGTAGTAGTAATTCTGGTAACTTGTAAGCAGTTATTCACAGTCTAACTTCAAACAAATCAATTTCTCACTAGCATAAATTGATGATTTTATTTAAATATGGCATTACTAACCTAAAAAGTGATTTAATTTTTGCTCTAAAATTATTTATATTTTTATAGAACAGATGGAATGTGGTTAGCAATGAAATCCAGGAGACCCTTTTGTCCTATTAAGAACCCGTCAGACGGATATACCTGCATTTCATTGATCATTTTCACACTAAAACTAGAGCTCAATACCTTTCTATGAAATGACTAACGCATTATCTGTTGATCTGCTGAATTCAGATACCTGCTGGTTTATACACATCCAGCTGACGAATCCTAAATAGGATAAAACATACATCCTAAACTCCACTTTTAACCATGTTTAATCTATTCTATAAAAACTTATGATATAATGGCTAAACCGAGGCAATCCGCATGGGATGTACTATATGTTAACTAAAACTTGTCAAGTTTCATAAGCAAAGATAGACAGTAGCTAGCAGTGGAATCCAAGACGTCCACCACTTTGTTCTATTTGGAACTCGTCAGCTTGATGTACTAACATTCTACAGCTGATGTTCACTCCGTGATTCGAACTCAGCATCATTCACTTTAGACGTCACTGTGTTATCCACTTATCTATTGAATCCTGATAGTCACAAGAGATTGATCAATTACAATGAGAAGATACAAATAAACAATATCAAGTGAATTTGATCAAGTTTCATTTAAGAATATAAACAATTCAAATTATTATAAATTAAATTCAGTCTCTATATTTAGTAAAAATTGTAATTTGAAACTGTTCAATCTATCAGTTGCCTTGGGAATAACTAAACTCCTTTTCTTTTTCCTTCTTTTTTTGTAATGTCTAACTAAATTATCTACAGTATTTCAATACTTTACTCATTGAACATTAACAAAGTATCAGGGAAAGCTTTCCAATGCTTAATTTAATTTACAATATAATAAAAAAACTTTTGGTGTTTTGATCATTTTGTTAATTTAAGATCTTGACAATGATAATATAATTTAATTATTGAATTCATGAATCAATTGAAGCTAGATAACCATAGAAAACCTGAAAGCATGAGACGACCGTTTCAGTCTACTGTAGGACTTTTGAGCAGTGCGTATCCATGGCCAGTGGAGTTCAACAGGGTATTTTTCGAGATAGTACCTTACTGAGGACAATAGTGGACGGTGGCACAATTTCGTGGATTAGTTGAAGTTAGACATTAACACCGTTGGATACCAGCCAGATTAGTGGTCTAGAGGCTAAGTGGTCGCGCGTGCTACTGATAGGTCCTGTGTTCGGATCTCGAGGGGGGCGGGATCGTGGATGCGCACTGGTGAGGAGCGCCACAATGGGAGGAAACGGATATCCAGTGCTTCCATGTTTTCTGTGGTGGTCTACCTTCAAATGACTCATGAATTCACTTGTTCAATTACTACAATCTCCACAAAATTCCTGTCTGATGATAGTATAATTGGTAAGGTGACTAGAATAAATTCATTATAAACAGTGAAGTAAATGAAAATTCTCTTTATTGTAATGTCTCACAAAAGTTCAATTTGTTCCTTCCATTGACTTCCTTCTAGATCGTTGATTTCTATTAGAATTTTGTGAAACGGCTCAAACATCATAACTTGATTCTCTTATTGGATTGTGTATTTATAGACTTCTTTATAGAAAATTTATTCAGCATTGTCATGTATTGAGAAGGTGAAAGCGAATATTTAGTGTTTAAGCTCCGTCGAGATATAAAGAGATCTGAAAAACTGTAACTTTAATTTAACTGTGAAACTACGTTTTAAAATTTTACTATGGTCACCGACCATCATTGAGTCACATCTCCGAATTTTATCGTAGACCTCTCCATTGAGAGATTTATCCAATCCCTCTGTTTTGGCATTCGATAAAAATGTATGGATAAATAGACACATGTATTAAAAGATAGAGAAATACCTTAAAACACTATGAATCATGTATGTGAATATAAAAACAAGGACAAATTTAGTAAACAATGCCTTATTAAGAACACTTGATATCCTTTGTCATTATAAAAGTAGATGATTACAACAACTAGAGTGAGACTAAAACTCTTGGGTTAGAATCACAAATACACGATTATAAATGTTTAAGTTCTAAGAAGTCCCATACCAAGACGAAACTACTGTCAAATGCTTGCAAGTTTTTAACGATTGTTCAATGTAGGTCATTCAGTGATCTCAATCAAATGGTTAGCATCCGTTGAACTTCCTTCTTTTGTTTTTCTGGGGAGAAATATTAATTTGTATTTATTATTTATTTTCATAGTAGCCTTAAAGATTTAGTTATTGATTCATCCGAAAGTGGATATTATTATTGGATTGGAATTGTTACAATCACAGTACTTTATAATGCAATTGTTTTACCAATGAGATCTGCATTCACTCAATTTCATGAATTAAGTCCTATCATTTGGATGGTATTAGACTATTGTATTGATTGTGTCTATTTTATGGATATTTTTGTTGGATTACGTACAGGTGAGTTAAATTTTTTTTGTATGAATTGTTTATAGGTTTGAACAAACTGAGAAAGGTTCAATCAAAATCTTAGTAACCCCTCCAGTTCTACTAATTATTGGTCCTAGTTAATATCATATTCTTTAGCCTCATACTCATAGTGTAGACAATTACTTTTTTTACAACTCCACTGCAAATTATTTTCAGAATGTAGAATTTTGGAGATCATAGTATTTGTGTAGTAGTTGAATCCATGAGTCGATTTTAGCTAGACCATCATTGGAAATCTCGAAGCACTGCATGGCCGTTTCATCTTAGTATGGGACTCCTCAACTGTGCTCATCCACGACCCCACATGCATGGTGCAAACCCAGTACCTTTGGTCTTATGCGCGAAAGCTTAATCTCTAGGTCAATGAACCGGCATCGAACGGTATCAGTGTCCAACTTTAATCGCTTCATAATCTTGCGAATCTCTTCGTCCCATACCAAGACGAAATGGCCATCCAGTGAATCCACATTTTCAATGGTGGTCTATCTTAGATTGACCTATGAATTCAACTATTATATTGTTATGAAAAGAGCAAGAACAAACATTCTAGCAGAATAGCATGAATCCATTTTTATTTCGTTCATTCTCGTCAGCTGCTTACAACCTGTGATATTTAAAATCATAATTAATGGGTTTAAATTACTTACATAAAAGAGTTTGATCGGAAGTTATATTAAAGACATATTCATATAGTATAGCAAGGGTGTAAATAAATTTATTGTTATTTCTTATCACCTGTGGTACGATTTTGTAACCTAAGTTCGATAGGTGAGTGCTATTGAGAATTTATGATGACTTTGTCAGATGATCCAGAACTTCCTTTATGACAAACTACTATATGTAAAATTAGCTATAAATACGATTATACAGCTTTAAATCAATAAAATGACCGAAAAAAATTCCCTCTCTTGAACCGTTTTCATTTTGTTTACTGATTCATTGGCCAAGCTGAAGTGTTTACTTAAAATGAACAAAGATAACAAATAAAAATTTTCAAGTTGATATAGAAAGTCAATCGACGGTGATCAGAAGTAACCTAAAGGTCAAGTGCATTTCATTGGGGTTACCATTCATTTATTCTTCGGATGTAACAAACGTTATTAATATACATACCTAACAAGCTGACATTTTGTAAATAGTTTTATTTTACCTACAAGAAGTCGTATTACTGTACTTGTTTGAAAATATAATCTATGTTAGTGATCTTGTAACAAATGATGTAACACTGAATCACAAAGTAACCAGCCAGAAAAGAGCAAAGGTTATGAAGGGAATTAGGGATTTTGGACTCATAATAATGAAACAAACTGAATTGTAAAACTATAAAGAGCATTTAAGCGGTACTTATCAACAAGATATAATGATAAAAAAGGTAGGAAAAAAGAATGATTTGCAGCAATTATCGTGAACATAAGAAAGTAACCTTATCACGTCACTCATATATATATATATATATATATATATATATATATATATATATATATATATATATATATATATATATATATATATAACTGAGTATTTTCGCATTTTATTCGGCAGTCCAATACACTTTCTCACTCACTCTTGTGTTCTCGCTCAAGTAGTCAGTTAGGGGGGGTGGCTAGCGCATAACATACTGTATCTCATTATCAGATTTCGGTCACTGCACATCAGGACACAAACGTTACTCAATTTCATTGACAAACACTTATTACGTAATTAATTTATGTACTCAATAATAGGAGTTACTAAATTATTTACAGAATTCCTTAATCTTCACAAAGTTCTACAATAACTCAATAAAGCAAATAAATAAAAATTAATTCATAAACTATCGCACATTATATCTATTGTAACTATGCAATACAGGTATGAAGATTTGTACAATAAAAAAAGAGAAGGGTTGCACAAGATCATGGATCGATTAAAATTAGTACATGAACACCATTGAACTTCGGTTCAGTAGTCTAGAAATTAAGCATTTGCTCGTGAGACCGAAAGCACTACTATGGAGTCCCATACTACAACAAGACGGTTGTCTAGTACTTCCAAATTTTCAATGATAATCTAGCATAGATCGATTCATGAATTTAACTATTATAATAAATGGTTAACATAAATTTAAAATAGTATGACAGCATTTTATCAGATTTGAATAATACACAGTTTCCAAATATGTTAAGCAAACTGTTGACTGTTATTACCATATGAACTAACTGAAATTCACTATTTTTGATTGAAGTTAAACATTAACACAGTTGGATGCCGACTAGCTCAGTGGTCTAGTGCTTAAGCACTTTCACCCGAAACTGATAGGTCCTGAGTTCGAATCTCGAGGGGGCGGGATGGCGGATGCGCATTTCTGAGGGGTCCCATACTAGGACGAAACGGCCCTCCAGTGCTTCCATGTTTTCCATGGTGGTCTAGCTTCAATTGGCTCATGATTTCAACTATTGAAATGACTAAAGTCTCCACAAAACCCGTTCTCATAAAAAGTTTTTCTTTACTCCATTTCTTTTTTCTATTTTCTTTTTGTATAAATTCTTCAGGTTACTTAGAAGAAGGTTTATTAGTACGTGATAAAGAAAAATTAAAACAAGCTTATATTAAACGACGACAATTTATTATTGATATAATGGCAATATTGCCAACGGATTTATTTTATTTAATACCAGGATTAAATCATTATGCTTCATGGTTAAGATTTAATCGTTTAATGAAAATTTATAGATCATTTGAATTTGTTGATAGAACTGAAACACGTACAAATCGACCAAATCTATTTCGTATTTCAATGCTTACTACTTATATATTAGTATTAATTCATTGGAATGCATGTATTTATTTTGGATTTAGTCGTGCTACTGGTATGTTTGTTTTGTTTGTTTCTTTTGTTTTGTTTTTTCTACTTATAAGAATTAATGATTGGAGGAATAGGTAGATTGTTTTTAGCTAACGGTGTGGATCTGTTACCTGGAGAACGACTTCTCGACCTTGAGTATGCGGGTGATATTGTCTTACTGTGCGATAATGCCCAAATCATGCAATCCACACTTAATTAGTTGGCAATCAGTGTCCGTGGTATGATATGTGCTTTGCACCTCCGAAGTGCAAAGTACTTCTACAAGACTGGCAGGATTCTAATCTTGTACTCATCCTGGATGGTGAGCGGATAGAAGTAGTTGAGAAGTTCGTGTATCTAGGTAGCTGCATAATTGCTGGTGGGAGTGTGAGTGATGAGATCAATGCACGTATAATGAAAGCCAGAGCGGCTTATGCCAATCTGGGCCACCTTTGGTGCCTTCGTGGTGTTAGTCTGGCTGTAAAAGGTCGGATCTACAACGCATCGGTGAGAGCAGTTCTGCTCTATGCCTGTGAAACCTGGCCTCTCCGAATTGAGCATGTTATATGACTCTCTGTGTTTGGTCATCGTTGTGTTCGAACGATTGCTGACATCCAGAAGCAACACCATGTTAGTAATGCAGAGGTTCGACATCGTGTGTTCGAGCACAGCGACGATAATTCAATTAGTGTCACCATCTTGAAACATCGACTTCGGTGGCTTGGACATGTTCTACGAATGTCGTCCCAGAGAATCCCACGTCGTGCATTATTTGCCGACTCTGTGACTGGTTGGAAAAAGCGGAGAGGTGGTCGGTGTATGACATGGTGTCGTGGTATGATAGAAACCTGCAAAGGGCTGGCTTGTGTTGGTCCTTCACGACTCCCTGGTTGGGGTCCGAGAGATGGTGCGACACAGTGGCTAGAGACGTTATCAGATATGGCTCAGAATAGAAGCCAGTGGCGGTCCTGCTGTAACCTTCTTTTACTTTATTTATAAAAAGTGGCTGTAACTTCCTTAACTGAAAGAATTCTTTCTGGTTGTACCTTTCTGTTTCCCCCATTATTATTATTATTATTACACTACCATACACTAATTTGTGGTCGTTCTTGTTTTTTTTTGTCTTCTTTCTTTTTTTCGTATACGCACCTTACATTCTTTTCCTCTTCTCATTCTCATTATTTTGTGTGGCGCATATATATTTGGTGCCCTCTTGTACCAATGTTTGTGTTCAAATAAATAAATATAACTTTGTTTTGTTTTTCCACTTATAAGGTTAAATGATTGAAGGAATCGGTAAATTTTTTCTGAGCTAATAATGGAATCTATATGTCATGAATTTTGTCCTACTTTGAAGTAGCTAAATGAATACACTTTATATTTCAATTAGTGTTGGTCTATTTGATACTTGAATTGAAGACGTTCGGCTTCGAATGGCAGTATATTATCTATTGAGCTATTGAGTTCAGATTGTTACTAAGTTGTTGGATGGTGATGATTATAATGTTGTTATTAGTAATAGAAAATGACTTACTAAATATCAATCAAAAATACCAACAACAGTGTAGTTCAAATACTTAGTAATAGTGATAGATTTCTAAAGGCTAATTTAAATAAATCAAAATGTAATGAATGTAATTGTATTGCAAAGGTGCCATTTGTCACTAAATTCCATAAGGTTGTGAGTTATTATATCATACCTCGGTCATGAAGGTATGATATCCTTCATTTCCTTTAATATCAATCTATAAAACCGTAGTTTAAGATATTAAGGCCAAGAGTAAGGTATCATCATCATCATCATCATCATCATCATCATTCTACATAGTTTACTTACTTACTTACGCCTGTTATTCCTCGTGAAGGGGCATAGGCCGCTCACCAGCATTCTCCATCCAACCCTGTCCTGGGCAATCCTTTCTAGCTCCATCCAGTTGTAATTCATCGTTTTCATATCTGCTTCTATTATTCGACGCTATGTGTTCTTTGGCCTTCCTCTTTTTCGCTTCCCTTCAGGATTCCAAGTTAGGGCTTGCCTCGTGATGCAGTTTGACGATTTGCGTAATGTATGTCCTATCCATTTCCATCGTCTTTTCCAAATTTCTTCTTCAGCTGGAAGTTGGTTTGTTCTCTCCCACAGAAGGCTGTTGCTGATGGTATCCGGCTAATGGATGTTGAGTATCTTACGAAGACAGCTATTTATAAATACTTGTACCTTCTTGATTGTGGTTGTTGTAGTTCTCCAAGTTTCAGCTCCATACAGTAGAACTGCCTTGACGTTCGTATTGAAGATTCTCACTTTGATATTGGTTGAAAGTTGTTTTGAGTTCCATATGTTCTTCAATTGTAGGAATGCGACCCTTGCTGTGCCGATCCTCGCCTTTACGTCTGCATCGGATCCTCCTTGTTCATCGATGATGCTTCCCAGGTATGTGAAGGACTCTACATCTTCCAGAGTTTCGCCATCAAGTGTGATTGGATTGCTGTTCTCCGCTTTGAATTTGAGGACCTTAGTTTTCCCTTTGTGTATGCTGAGGCCTACTGATGCAGAGACTGCTGCTACACTGGCTGTCTTCATCTGCATCTGTTCGTGTGTACGTGATAGGAGGGCTAGGTCATCTGCGAAGTCCAAATCGTCTAATTGATTCTGAGCTGTCCATTGTATTCCGTGTTTTCCTTCAGATGTTGAGGTCTTCATAATCCAGTCGACCACCAGAAGAAAGAGGAAGGGAGAGAGTAAACAGCCTTGTCTGACTCCGGTCCTTACTTGGAATGCATCTGTCAGCTGTCCTCTATGCACTACTTTGCACTGTAGTCCATCGTGTGAGTTCCGGATAATATTGACAATCTTCTCAGGAACTCCGTAGTGTCGAAGAAGTTTCCATAACGTCCTCCTATCTACACTGTCGAATGCCTTTTCATAATCAATGAAGTTGATGTATAATGATGAGTTCCACTCAACTGATTGTTCGACGATGATCCGTAGTGTTGCAATTTGGTCTGTGCACGACCGATCCTTACGGAATCCAGCTTGTTGATCTCGAAGTTGGGCGTCTACTGCATCCTTCATCCGGTTCAGCAACATTCTGTTGAAGACTTTCCCTGATATTGACAGTAGTGTTATGCCTCTGTAGTTTTCACATTTGCTCAGATCTCCTTTCTTTGGAATCTTGACGAGGTGTCTTTCTTTCCAGTCCATCGGCACTTGTTCCTCCTCCCAAATCCTTTTGAATAGAAGATAAAGCATGCTTGTGGTTGTTTCGATGTCTGATTTCAGTGCTTCAGCTGGTATGTTGTCGGGTCCTGCTGCTTTCCCGTTCTTGATTTGTCTGACGGCCATTCTAATTTCTCCCGTAGTTGGTGGATTGACATCTATAGGAAGATCTATGTGTGCTGCTTCGATATCCGGTGGATTCATTGGAGCCGGCCTATTCAGGAGTTCCTCTACATAGTTTACGTTATGTCAAATATTTATTGATAATATCAACCTCAAAGTTGGATTTGGACTATAACTTAACGGAAGTACTTATCAACTAGTCATTATTTCCACAATAATAAACTCATCTCCATATTCATTCATCTATTATATACTACATCATTGTATAAAAACCTTGTAAACACTAACTGTTAATTTCTTCATATCTAGAATACCAGCTTTTCTTTTCATTAATGCATTTGATTCATTTAGTTTACATATTCCTAAACTGAGAAAAGATGGTCTACACTACACATTTGTATCAATTGGAGAACGCATGGGTTGTAAAGGGAACTAGACAAAAATTTGGTAGAAGTTTGAGACTTTTTAGAAACACACATCCGCGTAGTAGAAAATGGAATACAAAACCATATATGTTCTTCATATAAGTTTGGAAATCTCAGTTTTGTAACTTCCCTTCATTTTACCTAAAAGAATATCTACAAATGTAAAACTCAAGTCCTAAACATCGATTTGAAGATTCAAACAACTAATAGATATGAATTAAGATTAAAATTCATCTCATCGCGCAAGTTAGTGGCTATCCAGACTCAATTGATAAGTGGATAACTAGTTGTCATCTGAAGCGAAAGGTTGGAGTGAACATCAACTCTGACATGCAGGCACATCCAGCTGACGAGTTTCAAACCGGATGACACGCACATCTTGGATTCTACTGCTAGCCAATACCATCCATCTCTGCCTATGATGTTTGCGATCTACTACCTATATTAAGGCAGTCCGTACAGAATGCACAAATGCCAAAAATAGATTGAAAAATTCCAGTTCTAATCATCACTGAGATGATCCAAACAACCAAAATATATGAATTAAAATAAAACTCAAGTTAGGTTTAGAAAAATTCAAGTTTTTAGCATACTTCAATTGATTGAGACTCATCGGCTAAACACACCCAAATCCCATTATTGATATTCATAATGCGACTCGAACCCAGTAACTATCACTTCAGACGTGATCACCACATGTGATTTATCAATAACACTTAACATTACCATGTAGAACAGAATACACTAAACATTAAAGTATTATTCATGAATAACTTGATCATTAAAATGTGGATACATTTTTGTTTTCATTTTCTAATCTTTATGATGTAATAAAACAGGTTTAAGCTCAGATTCATTTGTTTATCCACCACGTTCCAGTGATGATACATCAGATGAATATAAAAATTATACAGAACAATGGGATCGATTATTTTCTCAATATGTTTATAGTTTCTATTGGTCTACATTAATCTTAACAACAATTGGAGAAACACCAAAACCTGTACGTAATGCTGAATATATATTTATCACTATTGATTTTCTTGTTGGGGTATTAATATTTGCAACGGTTGTTGGTAATGTTGGTGCAATGATAACAAATATGAATGCAGCTAGAACAGAATTTCAAAATAAAATGGATGGTGTTAAAAGGTGAGTAAGTGATTGTAAATAAATGATTTAATCAAGTATAATATTGAATTTTCTATCTTAAACATCATCTTAATATCAAACAATAGAAATGATTGAAAATTGACTATAAGCTTGATCAACTTATTAATGATGTGTGGTTAATGAGATTGGTTAAGTACATTTTTATTGCATGAATATCATGAATATAATGTTAAAATTAGGGAAAGAACAAACCAGCTTCCAGTTGAAGAGGATATTAGGAAAAGACGATGGAAATAAATAGGACATACATTACGCAAATCATTAAACTTCATCATGAGGCAAGCCTTAACTTGGAATCTTGAAGGAAAGCGGAAAAGAGGAAGGCCAAAGAACACATTACGTCGGGAAATAGAATCAAATATGAAAAGGATGAATAACAACTGGAAAGAACTGGAAAGGATTGCCCAGGACAGGATTGGATGGAGAATGCTGGTGGGTGGCCTATGCTCCTTCACGAGAAGTAGCAGGCATAAGTAAGTATGTAATGTTAAGATTAAACATGGACCTATTATACATTTTTGTCAGCATGGAGTTGTGGAGATTGTTGAGTTTTTGACTGAGATTATGAATCTATCAATGTTAGATCACAAGGTTCTCAATGGTGGTCTAACATTGGTTGATTCATGATCTCAATCAAAAAATTAACAATCTCCACAATCCCATACTGATAATTACTATTTACTTCCTACTAACTAGCTTTGAAAGGTAGTTCTCACAGTTCTAGTGAGAAGCCGTTACCGGTGGAGCTAATCTGTGCAGGATGTGAGGCAGTTATCCACCGAAGACAATGAAAGATAATCACTCAGTTTCATGAATTGGTCAAAGTTAGACATAAACACCGTTGAATGTCGTATCAGTGGTCTAGAGGTTAGGCATTCACACGAAAGACTGAAGGTTATAGGTTCGAGTAGTGTGTGCGGGATCGTCAATACGTACTGTTGAGGAGTCCCATACTAGGACGAAACGGCCGTCCAATGACTCGAGGTTTTCAATGGTGGTCTAATATTCGTTCATTCATGATCTCAATATGGATTTTTAATTTCACTTTTATACATAATAAAATGTTTTGTTTCAGTTACAATTATCTCTGTGATATGGGAAAATATCGAGCCCATCCTCATAGAATTCACATATGTCAATGAGAGACTGACCAGCTTCAGTCCTAAATATCAATGAGAAGATTTAGATAACGAATACAACAATGAATTCTGACATGTTTGTTTTTATATGTAACTTCATGAAAAACTCTTATTTCAAAAAGAGTTCACCAGTGTATACTTTCTGATCAGTCTGTTTTTGAGTGAATGGTCACCAGTTTTTTTTGTAATTTTGTAATTATTGCCGGTATGTGGCGAAAAGTATTCCCAAAAAACAATTCACTGTTTTTCCGGAATTTAAGCTACAAGTATCACACTGTATTTGTAATTTTTAAGAATAAACCTTCATCCAATATCCCAAAATGGAATGTGGTAGACTTTTTTTAACATGAAGTGAAAAATATGACGGTAGTATTGTAGTGAACAAGAACACCAGTGGGGACAATCGAATGTATTTAACACAAAATTACAGAGCATCTCAATAAAATCTGAGAACCATATATCATATCGTTAATTTTCAAAATGTCCGCCAGTTGTTTCAAAATGCCTCAGACTTCATTGTTCTTGCATTTTCATACAAATTGCATTCTATTCCCGCTCTTGCTTTCTTGATCTTCCCCCATCTTCTGCTGCCAGACATTACATTCTTGACTCGCGTCATATACTACTTATATCAAGTAGCACGCACCACAGCATAAGTATTCAAGGTCTGATCAGCTGATGAGATTTTTAAGCGTTATAAAGGAATATTATTATTTCAACGTGTGCTGTACAGCCGAAAGATATAATACAACATTAATAAACTTTATTTACAACATAATAATGATGAAATATCTTTGAGGAAATCATAAACTCATGCTTGAGATATATAGAGTGTGAGGAATAAGCGGATACTTTCTTTTCCTAGGTTAGGGTTCCGTAATAGGAAACACCCATCATCAAACACTGGGAGGCTCGAATGCAAGACTCATATTTTTTGGTAAGTTTATTCATAGCTAGTGATATAGCTCATTGATTATTCAATATCACGGGATTTGACAGTCGTAAATTCGATTCCACACAGAATAATCTTAGATGGGCAGTAATGAAGTATGCAACATCATACTAAATCATCTGTTTATCAATAATCACAATGCTTTAGATAACTAGTGAAAATTACTCTTAAACGATAGTAAAAACAATCTTTATTTATGAACCTATTATCTTGTTTCATAACATTTAGATATATGGAATTTCGTAAAGTTAACAAAGAATTAGAACTTCGAGTAATCAGATGGTTTGATTATTTATGGACTAATAAACAATCATTAGAAGAGGATAGTCTTAATGCTTTACCAGATAAATTAAAAGCTGAAATTGCTATTCACGTTCATTTTGATACATTAAAACGTGTTAGCATATTTAAAGTAAGCGTTTTTTTTAAATAATTTTTATAGGTGAACATATATATACTACTTAAATAAATCTTGGATTAAAATAAATAATTGTTTTGAATTTTAATTTATTTTTGTATTGATTCTTTAAATCTTCCAATTGATGTTTATGACTGCAATTGATCAGTATCTTGTTGGTATATGCACATTCTGTGTGGATTGATGCGATATTGTATTCAGTCACAAGCATTATAAGCGTTTCGTCCTATTTGGGATTCTTCAGGTGGATGCACCTGAATCCCGGAGTTAATGTTCACTCCGGAACTTGAACACAATACCGTTTTCTTAAAATGCCACCTCGTTATCCACTTAGCTGCTGAGTTCAGATAGGACGGGATGTGCATCCTGCATTCTACTACTAGCCATGATCAATCTTTCCTCACAATGTTTTGAATTTTATAAAATATTTAATTGGATTCTTCTAAGAATATAAGATTATTTCAAAAGGGTTCATCAACTGTTTAACTCATTTTATTATTTTAACTGTTTATTCTCATCAAATTAGAAGTACATTATCATATTTTATTAAGAAATGATCCCATTTCTAAAGTTTCCTTGATCAATATTATTAAACACTGAAATGTAGTATCTCCATTTTTAAAAAGTACATAGTATCTAATATTATTGCTTGAAAACATTACTTGAATTGTATTTTTCTGAATATCCATGATGATATAGAAGAGAAGATGAACTTTGATATTGTTGTGTCTGTGGACTGCAGATTAGATGTGCAGTGACTTATCGATCGGATCAATAACACGTAAGAACGACATAGAGTCCCGATTGGCTCTGCTTCCCTGTCCAGCCCAGCCAGTTGAGTCCAGAACGCAAGTCTCAACCTCTAAGATATGAATCATTATATTTCAGACGTACTCTGTTTATATACCAATCAAACAGACCACATCGTACCATGAAATAGAAAACAACATTTGTACAATATTTAACAAGTGACCAATAGGAAACATCCATTTAAAGTCCAAGGACACCATTAGACTTAACAGGATAATTATTGGGATATTTTCCTGAATATCTTAACAGATATGAGAGTTTTTACTATATACAAAAAGGTAAAAGAACCATAAAATTACTCTGTTCATTTAGTAACTCCATAATCTTGAGAAAAATATGACAAAATGACAAATTAAAAAGTAAAATTACCAACCAAAGAATAGTCAAGGTCAGTGTTCGGATTACAGACTTAAGGTCATTATATAATTTAAATGTAAACAAGATAAAAGTAGAGATAAGTTTAATTCTTTTTTAGTGTAGTGAACGTGAGCGCAATTGAGGACAATCGAATCTATTTGAACACAAAATTACAGAAACATCTTAGTAAAATTTGAGAACCATACAGTAAATACTTCTTCTGCAAAATGTCAATCAATCGTCTTCAACTTCATTGTTCTTTCATTTCCACACCAATCATTCTTTGTTCTCATCCTCTTTTCTTCGATCTTCTTAACCTTCTATCACCAGACATTTCACTTTCGCTTGATGATACATACTACTTATATCTATCGACATCAGTAGCACACACTGCATTAGTAATGCCAAAAAATTTTATATCAAAGATGAAAATATTAAGGTTTGACAAGTCTTTCTTGAAATAATATTCATGTTAATAAAACTTCATTTCAGAAATAGTCATTGATGAATATTTACTGCTAGGTTTGAAGCTATTATGAGTTCACTTAGTATGCGAACGGAACAAAGACTTGTGACTGTAGACCAATAAGCTAGCTATTTCATGCATCCTAGCCCTGATAACTAGGGGAAGAAGTCCAAGCTTGGAACGGGAAAGTATATTCCGCAAGCCAGAAGCACGAGTGAATAATAACAGACACAAATCAAACGTATATATACAACATAAAACCGTCCTTGGGAAGCGTTGCAAAATAGCATACTAAAAATATACAATGGACCGATAGCGCTAAAGATTCTTCCAAGTGGGAAATACGACATGAAGGTGAAAAGTGTGCTTTTGGCGTGAAAACAAGGAAATTCAAATTTCCAAACAAAATTATAAAATTAAGGCATTTACGCAGTGAGTTCTTGGGATCTAACATTCCCAACACTTACTAATGATGTTGACTGATCACCAGATTATTTAACGAAATCACTGAAGATGAAATATGTGAACCACTGTATTCTGACTAAAATATCTCAGATTGAAATGAATGACTTATTCTATGCTCCATGATAACTAGTCTTCTTTTATAGCTGCTATTAGCCTTCAGTTAAACTATCTTCGAATTGGATATATCTTAGTTTATGATTATTAATAAAACACAAATAATAAATTGGACAATTTACAAAGTCATTACTTTGTTAAACTGATAAGAATGTTGTCTGTAAGGGTTTATATTATTCCGTAGTTCAGATTTACGATTGTCTTGTTACAGTCTAATACAACGAAACCCCGAGTCTTTGATTCCACTATTAAACATAATTCTAATGTTTAGAAACTTATTTCAAAGCGATTATATTGAAACGATTCACTTACAATCCACAGGTGTCAACAAAGATTGACTAAAATTCAGTAATAAATGTAAATAACAGGATACTACAAAACCTTATCTATAGTATAGAATTCTCCTATAAGTATTTACAAACCTACCGTGAATGTTAACAAATTACCTAATGATTAGTTAATAAATATGTAATACACTCAGTAATCATGTATACAAACGAGTTCATGTCAAATATCTTTATAACTTTCTGTTATATAGTTCATTGTTCTTAATGAATTATTCAATTGAGATATTCATTTAACAACTTAGAGGCATATTCACGGATACAATACTAAATAATTACAACAATATTTTCACAATATATTTGACATTGAAATAAAGGGAATAATTTTAGTCAACACTATAGGGGGTTGTGGCGATTATTAAGTTGTATTTTTATAATTAAGATCATGAAACGATTGACGTTAGGTTTTCAATGATAGTCTAACATCAATCGGTTCATTATCTCAATTAAAAAAACTTAATAATCACCACAACCCCTATATTGATAATTACCATGTGCTCACTAGTGACTAGCTTCGTGAGGGAATTCTCCGAATTCTAATGAGAATCCGTGACCAGTAAAGCTAATCCGTTTCGATTAATGACAGGTATCTACCTCAGTACAATGGAAGATGATCGCACAATTTCGTGGATTGATTGAGGTTCGACATTAACACCATTGGATGCCGGTCAGCTAAGTGGTTCAGTAGGTTAAGCGTTCTTATGCGAAACTGAAAACTGTGGTTTCAAATCCCACGACCGGGATCGTGGATGCGCACTGCTAAGGAGTCTCACAATAGAACGAAACAATCATCCAGTGCTTCCAAGTTTCCAATAGTGATCTAACATCAATCAGTTCATGATCTCAATCAATCCTGAAGTTTTCATTGTTCTTCTAAACAATATCATCAATTTCCCCAATTCAATCATTCAACTCAAAGAACAAAACATTTTTTCTCTATCTCATATATCATTCCTCTAATTATTTATATTACCTCTGATTGACAATTATTAATTCAATTTACTAATGTACTTTAATGAAAGAGAACAAAAATATCAAATCATGATACCTACATAATAAATGTTCTTTTCAATTCAAGAAAAAAAAGTTATCAAGGTCACTCTTTATTTTCTAAAAAAAGAAAAACAAAACAAAAAAACATTGAAATGAAGTTGGAAAAAAAACATTCTTTCATTAAATCTATTCAGTTTATTTATTTGTTTATTCATTCTATAATCGAAAGTTTTCCCAAATCGATTTTTTGTTGTTTTTTTTCGAGAAAAAAATTTTTGAAAAAAAATTTTTTGATGGATATTTTTTTCAAAACAAGAAAACAGAAATGAAAGAAAATCTCACTATTATTTCATTATCATTTTAAAATTATTGAATTTAAAAAATTGAAATGGTTAGGAAAAAAGAGAGGGGGAAAAATGAATTAAATTTTATAATTTATATTATAGATTAGGTTTTTAGTTATATAACTATTGGATACTATGGAGAGAAACTGGAATCGGATAAAAGAGGCAATCACTTCAACATGTCATGAGGTTCTGGGTCACAAGAAGCACCATCACAAGGAATGGATCACTGTTGATACACTGGATAAGATTCAAGAAAGGAGGAACAAGAAGGCAGCAATCAATACCAGTCGAACAAGAACAGAAAAAGTCAAGGCAAAAGCTGAATACACAGAGGTAAACAAACAAGTGAAGCGGAGCATCAGAACCGACAAACGTAAATATGTGGAAGATTTAGCAACGACGGTGGAAAAGGCTGCAAGAGAAGGAAACATGAGACAATTGTATGACATGACAAAGAAACACTCTGGAAATCGCCGCAAACCAGAACTACCAGTGAAAAGCAAGGAAGGAGAGGTAATCACCAACATTGAAGAGCAACAAAACAGGTGGGTAGAACACTTCAAAGAACTCTTGAATCGACCAGCTCCACTTAACCCACCCAGCATCGAAGCAGCACCCACGGACCTCCCAATCAATGTTGGCCCACCGACAATTGAAGAAATCAGCATGGCCATCAGACAAATCAAGAGTGGCAAAGCAGCAGGACCGGACAACATTCCAGCAGAGGCACTAAAAGCAGACGTAGCGGCAACTGCAAGGATACTCCACATTCTCTTCAATAAGATTTGGGATGAGGAACAAGTACCAAAAGACTGGAAAGAAGGACTCCTGATCAAATTACCGAAGAAAGGCGATTTCAGCAAGTTTGATAACCACGGGGGCATCACTCTTCTCTCAATACCGGAAAAAGTCTTCAACAGGGTATTTTCAAACAGAATGAAGGGCTCCGTAGACGCTCAGCTTCGAGACCAACAGGCAGGATTCCGCAGGGATAAATCGTGTACAGACCAAATCGCAACTCTACGGATCATTGTGGAACAATTAATTGAATGGAATTCATCACTCCACATCAACTTCATTGACTACGAAAAGGCATTTGATAGCGTGGACAGAACAACACTATGGAAACTTCTTCGACACTACGGCGTGCCTCAGAAGATATTCAATATCATACAGAACTCATATGATGGATTACACTGCGAAATCGTGTATGGAGGACAGTTGACAAAGTCGTTCGAAATAAAGACCGGTGTCAAGCAAGGTTGCTTACTCTCACACTTTCTCTTTCTCCTGGTGATCGACTGGATCATGAAGACGTCAACGTCTGAAGGGAAGCGCGGGGTACAATGGACATCTAGGACGCAGCTGGACGATCTAAACTTCGCAGATGATCTGGCCCCCCAATCGCAATCGCAATAACAAGTGCAGGAGAAAACGACCAGTGTAGCAGCAGCCTCAGCAGCAGTAGGTCTCAATATACACAAAGGGAAAAGCAAGATTCACCGATACAACACAGCATGCACCAATCCAGTCACAATTGACGGAGAAGATTTGGAAGATGTAAAAACCTTTACATATTTGGGTAGCATCACTGATGAACATGGTGGGTCTGATGCAGATGTGAAAGCGCGGATCGGTAAAGCAAGAGCAGAATATTTACAACTGAAGAATATCTAAAACTTAAAACAACTGTCAACCAACACCAAAGTAAGGATTTTCAATACAAATGTCAAGATAGTTCTACTGTATGGGCCAGAAACTTGGAGAACTACGAAAGAAATCATCCAGAAGATACAAGTGTTTTTTATTAACAGTTGTCTACGCAAAGTACCTCGGATCCGTTGGCCGGACACTATCAGCAACAACCAACTGTGGGAAAGAACAAACCAGATTCCAGTGGAGGAAGAAATCAGGAAGAAGCGATGGAAGTGGATAGGACACACATTGAGGAAAGCACCCAACTGTGCCACAAGACAAGCCCTCACATAGAATCCTCAATGCCAAAGGAAAAGAGGAAGAACAAAGAACACATTACGCCGGGAAATGGAGATAGACATAAGAAAAATGAACAAGAATTGGATGGAACTAGAAAAGAAGGCCCAGGACAGAGTGGGTTGGAGAATGCTGGTCTGCGGCCTATGCTCCATTAGGAGTAACAGGCGTAAGTAAGTAAGTAACTATTGGAAACTAGCAGATATTGGATATATATTTTGTCCTAGTAATAAAGCTTCTTGGTATTGTGGTACGTGCTACTTATATCGACTTAAGTAGTATATGATGCGAGTCGGAAATGTAATGTCTGGCTGAAGAAGATTGGGAAGATCAAGTAAGGAAGAACGGGAATAGAAAGTAATAGTATAGAAATGCAAGAACAATGAGGTCCGAGACAATTATTGGACATTTTGCAAATTAGGTATTATAGTATGGTTTTTCTATTTTACAAAGTAACTCTAATGTTGTTCTAAGTGTGATTCGGTTGTCCTCACATGTGTTCTCCTTCACTACAGTATCAGTATATATATACAGAATCTCCAAGTTTCATAACAAGGTTTTAAACTTTAAATCATTGAGTCTCATCTTGAATTGAGTTATTTACATTGGTAAATCATTAATAATAAATTATTGTTAGAATGAGGAATCATGACAATCGTCGATTTAAACCAAACCACTTTGGAAAACCAGGAAGCATTGGTCAGCCGTTTCATCCGATTGTGGGACTCTTCAAAAGTGTATATTTACGATCCTGCATGCACCACTCGAAATCAGAAACTTCAGTCTCATGCATGAATGCTTAACATCTAGAACACTGAACTGGCGTTCGACGGTGTTCATATTTAACTTCAATCAATTCACGATATCGTGTGACTGTTCTCCATTATCTTCTGTGGATGACTGTTTCATACCCGACACAGATTAGACTCTAATGGTCACGGCTTCTTACTAGAATTCCGAGAATTACCTCTCGAAGCTAATTACTAGTGAGCACATGATAATTATTGTCAGAATGAGGATTTGTGGAATCGTGCATGAACGTTGATTCACACTGCTAATGAGTCCCATACTATGACAAAACAAATGTCCAGTGTTTCCAGGGTGATCTAGCTTAAATCAACTCATGAATTCAACCATTAAATAATAATTAATATGACGATTTATAAAAAAACCTTCATTTTCATAGTTTAAATAATAATCTGATCATTAAAATGTTTCTAATTTATTAGCTGATAATAAGAAGTCAAATATGAATCCTGTTTATTTACTCATTGGTGAGGATGCTAGCAGTAATAAAATGTTCTTTTAAATAATATTTCATGTTTTCTGATATCCAACATTTTAAGACATGCGGTAATTTTATTGATTTATATTGTACATAAGTCATAGTGTGATAACATTAAGAGATAGTACATCCGAATATTATTAAATGATTGTTCTGCCTCGACAAGAATAATGAATGGTAACTTTTGGGATCTATTGATGGACCAATACTAAACGTATATTTTTATCGTATAATTGTTAAATAACTAAACTATCCATATTCATGTCTCTCTTATCATAAGCTTTAGTTTGACCTATGAACCATTATTATACGTTTTACCATTCTTGAGTTATACCCAGTATATTAATTACTACCTCCTTCATTCACAGCCACATCTGGCTAATTCTTGTACAAATGTTGTTTCATATTTTATTGGTACGTTGTGGTCTGTTTGATTGGTATATAAACTCGGTATGTTTGAAATATTATGATTCATATTGCAGAGGCAGAGACTGGTGTTCTGGACTTAACTGGCTGGGCTAGGCGGAAAGCAGAACCAATCAGGACTCTAGGCTGCTCGCATGTGTTTTACGCATCCTTGGTCCGATCGATAATCCACTGCTCTCTAATCGGCGGTCACAAGTTATAACAATGATATTGTCTTGACTTTCAGTAAAATTAAGCTAATTTTAATTAGAAATATTATGAAAAGAAATTCAAGAACTAATAGTTTCTTAATGTAATAATAAACTGAAAGCATTGACTATTTCACATGAATAACTTTTTTTTTCAAAATTGAGACAAGTATTTGAAAATGGATTACTTCGAAGTAGAACTTCTCAAGCGAACAGTCTCATTTTACAAGCAAAGATAGATAATGGCTAGCAATAGAATACAGGATCCACGCCATCTTGTCCTATTTGGGACTCGTCAGGTGAATTTATCTGCATCTCAGAGTTGATGTTCACTCTGGGACTCGAACCCAGTACCGTTCGCTTCAAACACTTGTGAATTAAGTCAATATCGAGGTAATACGTACAATATGCACATATGCTAATAAGAGACTGATCAATTGCACTCCTAAACATCAATAGGCAGATTCAAGTAAACAATACCAAGTGGATTTAATCTCAATTTACTTCTTTTAATACAGAAATACATCAAATCTGATATAATAATCTATGAAAAAAATAGAACGATTCATCTAGAAGAGATATTGTTTCCATTTAACCATACTTTTTTGTTTTATCTTTCAATCTGTATTCTTTTTTTGAATACATCAATGATTATAACATATTGTAATTTACTGTGAGTCTTAAACTGATTCATACATAAACTATGCAGAGAAACAATGTAAGATAAATCAAATTATTATTTAAAACCATATCTACATATGCGAACTCATGTAAATTACATGTTCTATATATATTGTGACTTTTGCCGGGCTAATTATCACGTGATTTACTCACCAATCAGATTACGACCTATACAATCTTAACACTGCCAAACCAATGACATATTGACCGGTATGAGGAACCTACCGTCCTTATTGACCCTTTTGCTGCCTAGCCCTACCTGTTGAGTCCATAAAGCCAAGAACAACTGCCACTGTGCAAATTATATATTTCAAACATACTTAGCTTATATAAAAATCAATTAGACGACATTACACCATAAAATAGAGAATAACAATTATACAAGATCAAGCCAGAAAGTGGCTGTTAACGTGGGAGACAGTAATCAATAAACTGGGTATAACTTAAGAACAGTAGGTCGTATCATAATAGTCTGTAGGTCAAAATAAAGCTTATAATAAGAGGAATATAGATATACATAATCTAGTTACTGAACAGTTATGCTATATATATATATATATATATATATATATATATATATATATATATATATGGATCAATAGCAGTGTCAACTTGATCAAAGTTATTCAACTAACTTAAATACTAACAATCATTAGTCAGTTTACACTAACTGTGAGTACAATTATTACCATTTGCATAAACTCAAAAAGATTGCTCTTAAACCTGAGATCATGCTTAGAATCATACAAAAACAGTCTTTAAGTACAATTTCAACAGGTTTATCTCAAGATTTAAAGTCTAAAGTGTATAATATCTTTCTACTTTCAATTACTTCATTAAAGCGATTGATGAAAGAGGTTACAGTAAATATTTACTCATAGTTATTGTCTTAGAATAGAAATATTATAAAATATGATCAATTACAGAAACAAACAACAGCTCCATTTAGTAAATCAAATCTCGCGAGGCGGGATCGTGGATGAGCACGGCTAAAGTGTCCCATAAACGGCCCTCCAGTGCTTCCAGGTTTTCCATGGTGGTATAGGTTCAATTGACTCATGATCTCAATTACTGAAATTACCATAATATCCACGAAAAACCCCCTTCTGAATATAAATCATTAATATATTTATATACATATTCTTTTTCTGTTCTAATTATTTTTAGGATTGTGATCCTGGTCTTCTAGTGGAATTAGTACTTAAACTTCAATTACAAGTATTTTCACCAGGTGATTATATATGTCGAAAAGGTGATATTGGCAAAGAAATGTACATAGTTAAACGTGGTAAATTAAGTGTAGTATCTGAAGATGGTAAAACTGTATTTGTTACACTTGGTGAAGGTTCTGTATTCGGTGAAATATCTATATTAAATATAGCTGGTAAGTATATCATTATATATGATATGTTAAATTAAATCATTCTTTTTTATAAATCATATATTAATTACTGTTGGGAAAGTATTAATATCTAACTTTTACTTATGATAGTTAACTCATTATGTTATATCCCAGTGAAGATTAAATTACTGGTAACTTCTGAGACCTATTAATGGACTAATATTATATATATAGTATAACTATTCGGTAACTAGATTATGTATATCTATATTCCTTTTATTATAAGCTTTATTTTGACCTACAGACTATTATGACACGACCTACTATTCTTAAGTTAAACCCAGTTTATTGATTACTGTCTCCCACGTTCACAGACACATTTTGGCTTGATCCTGTATAAATGTCATTTCCTATTTTATCGTGTGATGCGATCTATGTGGTTGGTATATAAACCGAGTATGTTTTAAATAAATGACTCGCGTAGTGGAAGCTGTTATTGGTGTTCTGAACTCAGTTGGACAGGCTAGGCGAACAAATGACTAACAAGGACGCTAGGCTGCTCATACCGGTCGAACGTTATCGGTTTGGTACAGTGTGAAGATTGAATAAGTCATATTTCGATTGACGAATAAATCATGTGATAACTAGCCGGGTTTAAAGACACAACACATTAAATATGTGATTAAAGCAAATTACAGTAGAAAACCTATTAAGGGCAAAACACTTTGTTGACATTCAGGTTTCTTTAGAAATCTGCCATGACATTTACAATAAGTGTAAATTAATTATATATTTTTAAGTGACCAATAAACCAATCCTGTAAATGGAATTTTACGCATTATATGTCAGCATGAACTATGCACTCTGGATTCGCCCGTTAACCTCTCTCTGAAAGAATGAAATATATAATAATCACGGTTTATATCATTTCGTTTAATCCCAATTTGTTGAGACAGCAGTCGAAGTAAGTGTATAAACTTACTGTACGGTTTAAATAATTTCATGATCTAGCAAGCATAACCACTTAGTTCTAAAAACTGTTGTATGTAAACATGCTAGTGAAATTTAATGTCAGTCAACCATACTTGGTAGAATATAGCTATACACTGATATGACTGAACTTCAAACATTTGTTTGAAGACCTGGAAGCGCTGGAAGGCCGTTTTGTTCTAGTATGGGACTCCTCAAAAGTGCATATTTACGATCCTGCATGCACTACCACTAAACCGGTGTTCGACGGTGTTCATATTTAACTCCAACCAATCCACGTAATTGCGTGACTATTTTCCATTATCTTCGGTGGATAACTGCCTCACACTTGACACGGATTAGACTCTAATGGTCACGACTTCTCACTAGCATTCCGAGAATTACCTCTCGATGCTAGTTGCTGATGAGTACATGGTAATTATCAGTATGGGATTGTGGAGATTATTAAGTTTTTGATTGAGATCATGAATCAACCAATGTTAGGCCACCATTTCAAACTTGGAAACACTAGATGGCCGTTTCGTCCTAGTATGGGCCTGGTGAGCAATGAGCATCCACGTAAAGGCCGTTCAGTGCATCCAGGTTTTCAACAATCTTCATAACCTTATAATGAAAGTTTGAAACAAATTCCTATTCAATAATTTATGTCTTTATTAGTTTTTGACATACAATTTCTTGTCTAAATATAACTGTTCAGAAAATTTATTGACTTTTGTTATTAATTAATAAAGATATGATCTAGAATATTTAACAGTAAATATATCTTAGGATTTTTATTTATTATAACACCCCACTAGTACTATGGGATATTATTAAAAAAACAGTCATCAATGTTTTAGGGAGAAGATACATTATCAATATCACAAACTGATCCAATTTAGACAATCATTAAAACCAAGAAGTACTAGACAGCAGTTTCCTCCTAGTATGGTACTACATAGCCGTCTCTCGACAAACGTTTGATCCTTAGACCACTGGGTCGATATCTAGTGGTTTACATTGATAACTTCAATCAATTCGTGCAATATAACGGATTGATTGAGCTAAAAGTTGTGAATTACTGGAGGCTAACTCATCTATCCAGATGTAATGCACAGACCTCAAGGTGTGAAGGATTTGACATTTTCTGTTAATGGTATCATTAGAGCCTACTACATTGGGTTTGGGAGCATCACACTACGACAAAAACTCTGCCTATTACCCTCCTCCAATTTTCATCTTTTGGCTACTTAAAGTTGGCCTATGATGTAGATAAACTTCAAATTATAAAATCACATCTGAAAAATATTTGCTACTTTAAATCATAACTGTTCTCTTATACATAAGATACATGTTTGTTATGAATTACATTTCATCTTTCGTTTTATTTAGAGTTAAGCAATATGCAACTCCGTACCGCCCATAACATGAATTATTTGATAAAACTAAATAAGATAATGAATAGTACTTCTGGATTGCACAAAAATTATATTTGTACTGAAGAAGATGACTTGCATTTTAGTCATATTCAACTTAAAATACAATATTACCAATGTTACCTATTACGAATTGCAACACAATTTACTTATTAAGCAAAGATGAATAGTGGCTAGCAGTGGAATCTAGGACACCCGCCATTTCATGCCATTTGGGACTCGTCAACTGGATCTATCCGAAGTGAACATCAACCCTGGGATGCAGGTATATCCAGCTGACGAGTTCCAAATAGCACGAAATGGCGCGTGTCCTGGATTCCACTGCTAGCCACTATCCATCTGTATTTAAGAAGCTTGTGACTTAAGGCTATATCGAGACAACCCGCACAAGATGCATATGTGCCAACAAGAGACTGACCAATTACAGTCCTAAATAACAATGGGAAGATACAAGTAAAACAACTGCAACTATCTGAATTAGATCAATCATGAAATCATCTGATCAATGTTTATTTTCTAACGAAATATTCTGAATTCTAGTTGTGTGTGTTTTCTTTTTCTTTTTCTCCTGATCATTATTTCTTTTAGGTAATAAAACAGGTAATCGTAGATCAGCAAATGTACGATCTGTTGGTTATTCTGATTTATTCTGCCTTAGTAAAGATGATCTTTGGGATGCATTAACTGAATATCCAGAAACTAAAACAATACTTATGCAACGTGGTCAAGATATATTACGTAAAGATAATTTATTAGATGAAGATGTACTACGTAAAGCTCAAGAACAACAAGAATCAATTGAACAATGTGTTCAACGTATTGATGGTACAGTAAATCAATTAACAACACGTTTAGCTAGATTAATTGGTGAATTTGGTGCTAGTCAAGCAAAATTAAAACGTCGTTTAGCTAGATTAGAACAAGAATATGATATGAATTCATCATTTTTAGTACAAGATAATAATAATAACATTCCTAAATATAGAAAATATAGTGAACAATTAACAAATGATAGGCAATTACAATGTAATACACAATTAGAATATAATAGAAAATCAATTCAAACAATAAAACAAGGTAGTAAATTGAAAATTAATCAAAAACAACATAATATATCTAATAGTAGTTCAACATCATTATATGATAAACGTGAATCATTAAGTTCATTAGGATCTAATATAACAAATGAAACATTGCCTTTTGCACAAGATGATGAATAGATTCATAATGAATATATAGTGAGACTATCATTTATGGAAAAAACCAATCAAATATAAAATAACACATCTTGGATATTGACATGAAATTCATTTATCCATTTGAATAAATATAGAATGTTAGCATTATAGCTAATATCAGATCGTAATGAAAACCCGAATTCTAATCCCTAAGCTTAATTGCTTACTTACTTACGCCTGTTACTCCCAATGGAGCATAAGCCGCCGACCAGCATTCTCCAACCCACTCTGTCCTCGGCCTACTTTTCTAGTTCCATCCTATTCTTGTTCATTTTTCTCATGTCTATCTCCATTTCCCGGCGTAATGTGTTCTTTGGTCTTCCTCTTTTCCTTTGGCCTTGAAGATTCCATGTGAGGGCTTGTTCTGTGACACAGTTGGGTGCTTTCCTCAATGTGTGTCCTATCCTCTTCCAGCACTTCTTCCTGATTTCTTCCTCCCTAAGCTTAATTATCAACTGTAAATTATAATTATAATTCTTCACACAGATTTATAACCCTCATTTAGTCCTGGTTATGAAGTGGATATTCTCAAAGTCATTCTGGAGTTGCTTAAAAGTCCTACATAAATTATAGTCTCATCGATTTTTCTATTTCAGTAAATATAATAATAACCATAGATTAACACAATGACATACACTATTCTATTTCTTGTCAATATTACATGGAAATGATAGTAAACTTTTTTTATTTATTTTAATGTAATAACATTTACGTATCGTATTGATTGTGAAAAGAAATTACTTTGTTTACTGATTTGTACTAAGTTTTAGGTCAGCCATTACCTTGTGACCTTGACAAGTTATCATTAAAAGAAACAGATCATCTTCAAATCATGTAATTGACTATTGAATGTAATTATATACGTGTGTGTGTATGCCAGTAATTGTTTTGTTCGTTCGTTTCTTTTTATTAATAGACATATCTAAGCAAAACTAGGAAATAAAATATACATGAATAAATAATTAAGATCAGAAGGGGATTTTGTGGATATTATAGTAATTTTTAATAGTTGAGATCATCAGTCAATTGAAGCTAGACCACCATGAAAAACCTGGAAGCACTCATCTATTAAAAATTACTATAATATCCACAAAAAACACTTTTGATATTAATCAACATATGCTCACTAGTGACTGGCTTCAAGAAGTATTTCCTAGGGTTCTAGTGAGAAGCAGTGAGCAGTGGAGTTCAACCGGGTCTGTTGTGAGATAGTAACCCACTGATGACAACGGTGGATGTGTCGCTCAATTTCGTGGATTAGTCAAAGTTGGATGCCGGCTCAGTGGTCTAGAGTTTATGCGTTCGCACGCGAGACCGATAGGTTCCGAGTTCAAATCTCGCGATGCAGGATCATGGATGTACACTGCTGAGAAGTCCAACAATAGGACGGAACGACCAGGTTATCCATAATGGTCTAGCTTCAATTGACTTGTAGTGTGGCGTCGAGTCGAGGTTGACCATGATCACCACTACATGTTGAGCGCGTACCAGGAAAATCAGAAGGCGAAGGAGATTGTAACGAGATTTATTCGTTGGCGACCTCGTGGTATCTAAAGTATATTAAGATCGTGCCAAAGGAAATACAAGTGGGATTAATGGGCGAACGTGCGAGTGTACATGGTCACAGTCAACGGAAGAATAATGGAGGAGCAATGGATGTCCTTAGTACAGTTAAACAAACGAGCACAGTAAAACAATCACTGGTACAATTGGTTATAATAATGATTGTTTCTAATAAACCAATAGCATTCTCTTGATAAAAGTAGGTCACTACAGACTCATGGTCTCAATTATTAGAAAGGTTAAGAGTCATTATAAGGGGTGTATTTTTAAAATTGGTATTGTAAGACGGAACACACTTGAATGCTACCTATGGCCATCAATTCGAATAGTAGGTTACAAGCAATATACAGTTTGTTATAAAGTCTCACTAGAAATTAACATTTGATTTTAGAAAAACAAAAAGAATCTTATTTTTTACAACTAAGCAAATTAAGTGTTTAAAGTGAGAAAAAACATCGTATATCTGCGTAGGATGAAACTTCACTGGAAGGTTAGATAGCTTAATGATGATTTCTTTCACGGATTACTAGTTTAGCTATTGAAAACAAATTTGGAGTGGTGTTAAGTTACTCTTGATATGATCTTACACTAATAAGGCCGGTAATCTTTTGGTTTTTGGTAGCTTTAAAACACATTCTCCTTATTATTGTATACGTTTTTAGTCATATTTATATTCTCTGGAAGAAAGTTGGTTTTCCGAAATGGGGGTTTAAAATCGTGCTGGCTGTTTGAGGCGGTAAATAAACTCCCAAGATCAATAGCTCTGAAAGTCTTCTATATTTGATGCCGACTGCTTTAGTTTCACTGAACTCAACTAGCTGAAGGCACTCGCTTACCCAGCCGCACCAGATAACGAATGAGTATGCCGTGCTACGCGTCCCTTGTAACTACTAGCCAGCTTAGACCAAACGTTCTTTCGACATACCGATAGCTTTCTAAATATATCTTCGAATTTATTCATTCCTGACTTCTGACTCGACTGGGTTAGCATACTTCGTCTGCAAATGTATTAGTGGTTAAAGCGTTGTCAAACTCCGAATATTAGTGGCATCTTTAAGGTTATAATTTATGTAAAACAATGGCAAGGTGAATGTTTTAGCTTGTAGTGACTCACGTTTATCACGAGAACACGACTGGTTTAATAAAAACAATTATTATTATAACCAACTGTATAAGTGTTTGTTTTAATGTGCTTTTGTTTAACTGTGCTAATTATAGCCATTTTGTGCTTCCATTACCTTCCATTATTGTTCCGCGGTTTTTGGTACTGTTCGCACGTACTCCTGTCTTCTGCTTCCACTTGTACCAATTCTTGACACGATCTCGGTATTCGTTCAATACCACGAGATCGCCAACGAAATAAATCTGATTACGTTCGATCCTCGCCTTCTGATTTGTCTGGCACGTGTTTCTTTGTAGCGGTGTTCATAGTTAATCTCAACTCGACGCCACGCTACAATTGGTAATCCCAATTCGAATACAATTGGTGACCCGTATTTTGGAACACGCCTCAACTTCTGATCAAATCTTCCAAAGAAGCCAATTCGGTGAGTCTATGATTTATCTATCCACGTCTGTCGTATATTTTCATAGTTTTTAATATTTAATATACACGACATGACGGATAACGATAAGAATAGTATTAATATAATAGACTCACACGTATGTGTACCGAATCCTTGTCACTTTTAATTCGCGTGATGATGAATTCCACGCTTTATTCGAGAAATGTTACCCTATTAACGATTCTCCTCGCTGACCCGGCTGCTTGGTACGGAATGCATACGCATAAGCATATCCGTCTACCACCCAGCACCAAATGGTTAAGTTGAACGGTTTCACTGCCAACTTAAGAGTGTTCTACGAGCACACGAAAACGGCAACTGGCACGAAACCTTACCGCTCGTTCTTCTAGGGGTGAGAACGAGCTTAAAGGCAGATATCCAATGTTCCGCCACTGAACTTGTATACGGCACGACATTGCGTCTGCCCGGAGAATTCTTCACACCACGGAGCAGACCTAATTTCGGTAAATCAGACTACGTCCATCGACTGTCTGCATTTATGCGAACGCTATCTCCGGTGTCAACTCGAATACAACATCGACAGGTCGCTCTCCCTCGAGAGTTATCTACCTGTTCACATGTTATGTACGAGTAGATTCGGTACGCAAACCTTGGCAATAACCTTGCGAAGGCTCTTTTCACGTGATCGCTCGTCACGAAAAGACCTTCAAGGTTGATCGACATGGACGCGTCGAGATCGTCAGCATTGATCGTCTCAAACCAGCACACGTCGATGACAGTGCCCTATCTGACACCCTGAGATTCAATGCTAGACCTATCAAACCTAGCGGGATCTTAAATCTTCTTCAGGTCCCACGCTAGATTCATCTGAGACCTCATTCTCACGTCCCGGTCAACAGCACGCGTCATCTGCACCGTCTACGGACGAGACGACAGTCTCACGTCCAGATCAGCAGACCACGCCGCCTCTGACCTCGGATGAGATTGCAGGCTCACGAAATACGAACGAGACTACTGTCTCACGTTCCGGTCGCCGAGTACGGTTACCCGTACGCTTCCTCGACTAGTCGCACAGTCGACAACCGATACGGTGTAGGAATATTCCTATGCTACTTGCATGCTACACTCTTCTCTTTTTTGATTTTCTTCTTGTTTCCTGAGCCCACGCCTTCGACCATCTCCGTTTGGTTCCGCCGACTTCAGTCAACTTTGGCGAAAGCTGGATTGGCCACCCACGCTCTTGTCAACGCACTCAGTCGATATATTGGTTTCGAATGCTTGGCATACGCTTGGTCTGGAACTTGGTCGTTACGGTCGCTTCTGGTCTTTTGGCTCAACGTGGTTTCGTCCTACGTCTGCAGCGTTTCTGGTCCGCATTCCCTACGAACGCCCTCTTCAGATTCTGGATACAAACCACTCTCGTGTAACATGCCAACTCGAGCAATCAATACAACACATCGCTCCTGGTACCGTTCTCCGAAAACGACCTTCGTTGGCAACTCGACGATCAACGATCGCTTTCCTGTTCGCCAATCTTTCCGTCCTATAATCGCTCGTCAGCCGATCAGTCCCACGATTCAAACCGCTATTTATCGAAAGTGTAAACCCTTTCTAGCGGGGGGCTCCTGTAGTGACTCACGTTTATCACGAGAACACGACTGGTTTAATAAAAACAATTATTATTATAACCAACTGTATAAGTGTTTGTTTTAATGTGCTTTTGTTTAACTGTGCTAATTATAGCCATTTTGTGCTTCCATTACCTTCCATTATTGTTCCGCGGTTTTTGGTACTGTTCGCACGTACTCCTGTCTTCTGCTTCCACTTGTACCAATTCTTGACACGATCTCGGTATTCGTTCAATACCACGAGATCGCCAACGAAATAAATCTGATTACGTTCGATCCTCGCCTTCTGATTTGTCTGGCACGTGTTTCTTTGTAGCGGTGTTCATAGTTAATCTCAACTCGACGCCACGCCACAAGCTGCCTATCGGTGATATATTTCACTGAATAGGAATTTTCTGCACCTTTTGAATATCTGAACTAATATTTTGAATTTCTAATGAAAGAGTGGCTAGGACGCTTTTAATTTCGCAAATACAGTGACTGGTGATTAAATGAGAATAACTAGGTTCCTATTTTACTTCGAACACTTTTTCTTTTTAACAAGTAATCGATTTCGGGTGCTTGAACCATTGAGTCACTTATCTCGTTAATGGCTGGATTATACAACCCATTCATTACAGAACATGAATCACATAGCCTGGAGGTGAAAATGTTTATGTATTTTATATATTTTTGCGTTTTAAACTTACATTTATTTTACTACCCAACCACTGTTTTGATATCGTCATGCTGACAATATGAACTCTAGGAATTTCAAACATTATAGTTGTACTCTGTGGTATTTGTACTAACTGATGATTCTTTTGTACTTGATTGCGCGTGGATTACGAATTTCAAGTAAAATACGTCTATTTCAGCTCATCTAATTCTACCTGTTTTAAATAGCACTATTTCGGAAATTCTTGTTTGATATGTAGTGACTCACATTTATCACGAGAACACGACTGGTTTAATAAAAACAATTATTATTATAACCAACCGTACCAGTGTTTGTTTTAACATGCTTTTGTTTGACTGTGCTAATGACAGCTATATTCTGCTTCCATTCTTTTACTTACACTTTTGATTGTGACTTCGCGCAAATTCGGTTACGTTCTGTAACCAAGCTTGTATCCTGGCACGATCTCGGTATCCTTTCGATGCTACGAGATCGCCAGCTAATAAACCTCGACTTGGTCCATTAATTGCCTTCTGATATTTGGCTTCTCGGAGATTTTATGGGTTTCTTTGGTTACGTTCAACCCTCGCCTTCTGATCTACTTGGCACGTGTTTCTTGGTAGCGGTGTTCATAGTCAGTTTCGACTCGACGCCACGCTACAGATATATTAATTTGAATACTTTTAAATATAAAAGTTGAGTCACAACGGAGACAAATTTTGAACGGTTGAATGCTTATGCAGTCAGAGATAACTTTGGAGAATACATGCAGTACTTCACAACTAACTAGAAAAGATAATGAAGACAATAACTTTGCAGCTTATTTCTAACTTCCATTCATTTCATGAATTATTGTTGACACAGGTCGTGTAGAGTCCATTATTTCAATCTTTAGATTCTAACGTTGTAGTGGGACCCAATAAAGTCCCAGTATTGGAGATTACTGGGCAATAACTACTCATATAAGGATGCTGGAAACCGCTATTAAGAGATGGTAATTCTTTACACCTCCCTTACGAAGATTTAGTTAATGAAATAAGACGCTCAATACTGGGTTTGAACAATTTGAAGAGGCTTAAAGTGGACTTGTTTTAATGGGTTTCCAAAAAGATCTCGTGATTTACTACGATTGCTACATGCAGTGGTGGGATGAGAATTCAGCCTATAAGACTTCAAGTACAGGGTGATTCAGTCTTTCTAAAAAAAAGAATAATTCGTTATGGTCTTTGAGAAACATTACATCAGACATTAGACGATTTGCTTGCAAAAAAATTAATTTAATCGATTCAGTCTTCAGAATGGGGTACTCCTAATTTCACTCTCTTGAAGTCTGATAGGATGACGGCAAGAATATGTAGTGATGACTATAGTTTAACACTGAACTCCCATTTAAATAGAGGAAGAGCAAACATTGATGCAGAATAGTATGAATTCTTATTATTTCGAGGTTTCTCGTCAGCTGCTTACAAACCAAAATTGTGATAGAATTTTTACATGGAGATAGTGTGAAACAATTGACATAAATGAGTGTAAATAACTGAATTAACCCCTTTTTGACCTCTGACCTGTTTCTAGCACATATATATATAAATATATATATAGTTATTTTTGTAATCCAGTTATTTACACTCATTTATGTCAATTGTTTCACACTATCTCCGTGTAAAAAATTCTATCACAATTTTGGTTTGTAAGCAGCTGACGAGAAACCTCGAAATAATATGAATTCATACTATTCTGCATCAATGTTTGTTCTTGCTCTATTTAAATTCATAAAGTGAACCAATTGCATGGAACTCCCATTTGTTGAAGGAATCATGCACGAAGGTGAAAGCTGAAGATATTTTGGGTCGACTTTGTGGTTCTTAGTTATTTTTTAAAATTGACTTAAAATCCACTATTTTTACTGACCATGAAGCCTTAAATTTCCTTTATCATACAGATCTCGTCCAGATCTCATCAGAGCAACTCATCGATACCTAATATGTATATTCAGTGCCAAACGAAAAGGTTGGAATGCTAATCTGAAACGTAGATTTCCTGTTTAACTTACAAGGGGAATGAGCCATCCACTATTGTATTTAAATGATTGTGCTGCTATCCCTCCTTCATTATGTGAATCTCTCAGCGAAGAAATTTATCGTGGGTATATGGGTGTTGTGGAAATGAAGTACTAGGCAGAGCTCATATGATGGCGGTCGAAGATAAATTCACACATACGCCGCACAATTGTGAGAAATATCGTAAGTCGAGAAGTCATCCTTCGAAGTGGACTCCTTGGCCAGCATCGTCTGAGGCCTGACAGAGAATTCATGCAAACTACCGTGGTCCATTTCTTAGCAAATAACATGCACTTGTCATTGATTCTTTTTATCAGTGACCTGACGTTTTCTTCACAGCTTCTCCAAATTCTGACTTCATAATTCAAGCACTAAGAAAAGTTTTTAGTCGGGAGGGGATTCTTACGGTGTAAGTGACTGATGACGGTCCATATTCAGCTGCAAACGCACTCACCATCCGGTGAAATGATGGAGGATTCAGACGTCCAATCACTGCCGTCATACACACTTTTCTCATGGTTGGAGGAAAAATTTCCTCAGGACATGGAAAACTTATTAATTACGTCGTTGCTGCAACACTTGATGAACTGTGGGGGGAGTAGAAACATTATAACTCCAATAGGAACATGCTAAACATTCTGTAACGGAAAAGACTTCACCAGAGTTATGAGAAAAGAAGGATTCCTCGTTCGAATATCAAGTGTTTAGAATCTACAGATGTTACATATTATCGTTGAAATGATCTTCGAACAACCGAGTAGTTTGTGGTGAAGGACGTCGGAAAACCTATGGTTCCAATTCTATATACCAATGACTTATGTACACCCAACCGTCATGTACCGTCAGTACCAGAAACCAGGTGAGACCGCTCAAATTTTCTTGTGCTAAAGAGTGTATTCTAGATCATACAGAGGCTACATCTTATACACTGTCGGACAGACACACGAAGAAATTAGACCACAGAAATTTTGACTCCCACTTAGTTTGCGGTGGTTATGGTATTTCTACCAACTAATGATTCTTTTGTACTTTATTGCGTGTGGATTACGAATTCCAAATATAATACGTCTATATCAGCTCATCTAATTCTACATGTTTTAAATAGCAACATAGCAGCATAGTCGCAGGCATTGAGCTCAGAATTACGAAGAAATGATTTCTAAAAGCGCTCTACGATACTTAACACTTGTCAGAATACTAAGCTATACGTATTCAACAAGTACTCGCAGAAATAAAAAATTGCGTTTATCCAACCATTAGTACACAATCTCGATATATAATTGCAAAAACATCAAATATTGGATCATGAAGATGAAGGTCATATATTGGCACAACATTGAACTGCCAGTCTTGACCTTGGTCCTCTGTGAGTATTCACAAATCCCGGACATTAATGTCGGAAAATTAAAAAAGCCCCTACTATTAATGCGTTTAAAATTGAACAAAATGTCATTAGATTTTTAAAACAGAGGGTCAGACTTGTACTAATAAAGTCAATCATAGGAATATATATATTCTGTTGCTTTCATGCAAAGCGCAAACTTTTTACGGTACCGGAGTAAGTAATTCCTAATTTGACTAGTAGAAAATTAAATCTTCTTCCATCATACACCCCACCTCTCACTGTAGCTGCAACTTTTTGTATGTATATACAGTGTTCTCATGTGACTACGGTCCTCTGAACATCTCAGGATTACTATAATCCGCACAAAATAACAAGCGTTACATTTTTTTTCATCCCAACGTCTGTAATTTCGTCGGGTAAACACATATTGTGAGTTCAAGGAAAGTTGGATAATAAATGTCTGTTTGTACCAGTGCGCAATCTCTCTTATCATTAATTACCGTTAGTTATCTCACTTTTCCAATAGTCCTACAAAATTTCCAAAAGCATCAAATTGCTACCTAGAGTGTCTCGCTAGTTAACCTACTAAAACATGGGCCTTCGGCTTTTACATTACTATTTGTTCCATAATGTCTATCTAACTCAATTCGCTACAACCTTTTAGTTGATGATTGAACTCACCATTATTCAAGTCTGAATTCTCATCTATCTAAGCGTCCACAGGAATAGCGAAATGTCAGTCAACGTTTTTCTCCCATTAAAAGTCTCCTTGACGAGTGGTGTTGTGAACATAATTAAGAATGTTGAAATAATTCGTCTGAAAATTTCAGGTTCCTGGTAATGTTCCAAGTGTTCCAGTGAATTATCAAACATTATTTTAAAGAAAAACACGGATATACAATGGTATTACGTGTACTTTTTTTGATAATTTCGAAAATTATTCTGTATCCTCTTTGTTTTCCAGCCAAATTCCTAAATCAACTCCATATTAACTGTATATACGTCTTAAACATGGTACTGACTCCAATATTTCGCCTAGAACAAGATGACAAAAAGCTTAAAGTTATCATTCATGCTCCACTAGCTAAAATATCTGAAATGGAAGTATGTGTGGAAGAACAAACTTTTTATTTTGACTCCTCCCCGTACTATCTTAAGTATGCCCTCAATTGTTTTCTCATTGATGTATTTAGATTCGATATTCCAGGTTCTGTATTAACGGATGAAGATACTTTTGACTATGAGCTCATTGACGGTGATATACACATTACATTGGAGAAGTCTAAACCAGGACTCTTCAAGGATTTAGATTTAATTACAAAACTGTTGATAACTTCTGAAACAAAGCCTTCCAAGTGTTTGATTGAAGAATTGAATGATACTGTTGAACAACAAAAGTGTTGGTCATTGGATTGGTTTAGCGATTCAAAAAGTATAAGTTCGACACCAGAAGATGTGATTCTTTCTAATCCAACTTATGGTTTTAGTGGTTCCAAATCTGGACTGTTCCAAGTTGAGGTAATGTACTTCCTGTTCAAATTTGGTACTCAAGTGGTAACTTTCTCAGAGACCTAAGCGTGTTTCGCAAGTGTATATCTGTCAGGTAGCTCATAACAAAAAGAATCCAAGTCACTTAACTAATATATATATATATATATATAAATATATATATAGCTAGAGGTTCTTCGTAGATGTGGTTGCAGGCTACTTGGTCGGAACCTTCACTGGTAAAACGACCAGTGGTTGAAGATTTTCGGCATCATGGTTCAGAATAGGCCACAATAGCGCAAATACATTTACTCTTCATGTGCATCAAATTTAAAGTTGTAACACTATTTTTCACTTTGTTTCATACGTTCATTTCCTTCCCAAATAATGTCACCCATGCCTAGTCTTTTCTACTAGCCTTGATACTTACCCTTAAGACTCCAGCATAGTTCTTGATGATTTTATCTCACTTTACTCATTTGATTTGGCTAGTTAAACCAATACATATATGTCTCCGGTTCTATGTTTGTGACTAACCGATTGATTAAAGTCACATTAACGTAATGCCATTTTCTCAAATATACTGTAGCGGTAAATAAATCCCCAAAATAAATAGCTCTAAGTTTTCGACATTGGATGCTGACCATATGTTTTAGTGGACTCATCTAGCTGAAGGCGCTCGGTCATGCATCCGCACCAGATCACGTGTGGTAACGCCGTGCTCAACATCAACCGCAATCGCTAGCCAGATTAGATCAGAGAATTCCGATATATTGGTTACCGCCAAATACACTCTCCCGATCTCCTCGACTCTGTCTTTTGATTTCTCTGGGTGGGAACGAATTATATTAGAAGGCGTTACTAGTAAAAGTGTTGTCAAACACTGAATACTTGTGACATCCTCAATACCTCGTCTAACATCCTCTCTTGTTTTCCAATTTTTTTGAAAATGCTACTTAGTCTGATTTAACACATGCAGTGGATCTGCCTCATCCAGATTCGGTTGATGTTTTCAAACGATCAGAGCTTAGAAAAGTGGATGAAGAGAAGAAATTTCTTATCGATCATTATCTGTGAGTTTTAATTAATTTTTTCTGGATTTCTTCTTCACCTGCTTACTCTGCTGAGAAATATGACAAAACAGTGTATTGTTAAAATTTTGAGTTCTATTACACAGACTAAAATACATTTTATAGTAGTGTATATCAACAGACAAGTATTATGCAACAGTACTGTGAGGAAAATGCAATTAAAAATGATCCAGGAAAAATGAACAAAAAGTACTAAAAGATAGATAAAAATACAGAGACACTAGATTTCGTTCCGTTAGTAAGTACATTTTACCACTTATAGGAAAAAACCAGATTATCACTGGCTTTAACTTTAAGCTGTATTAAATTCCTAAGTTGCTGAGTTGTAAAATAATTCATAAAACTCCATCCATACTGTGATAGGTAATCAATAGACTAATGTAACGAAATTCAGCAGCAACATTCAAAAGTTCAGTTGTGCTATTGAATAATTACTAATATGGACTGTAATTTTTTGGTTTTAATCTTGCTACAATTATTTATATCTAGTTGATCTTGGTGAAAAATATATGGCCTAAAATTTCAAGATGGTTTCTAGTATTTTACTGAAATCACTAACCGATCAAAGCTAGACAACCATTGACAACCTTAAAACAATTGACGGCCGTTTCATCCTGGTATGAGACTACACGGAAGTGCGCATCCACAATCCCAACACTGATCTAGAAGTTAAGGGTTCTTGTGCAAGACTAAAGACTCTGGCTTCGATTCCCGCGTGCGGAGTTGTGGATGCACACTGCTAAGGAGTCTCATACAAAGGCGAACCAGCCGTCCAGAGCTTTCATGTTTCCAATAGTTGTCTAATTTTGATCGACCTCTGATCTTAGTGAAATTCAACAATCTCCATAACCCTCTACAGATAGTTTCTAACAGGATAATACTATTATGCTATTTAATTTCCCTGTTTTTCAAGAACAAGTTGGAAAAAACTGGGTTAATTCAGTTGTCAGACGAACTTAATTGATTTATTTAGCGTTCAAATCTTTGTTTTAGATAAATGTATTTTGCGAATGGTTTTATTAGAGAAATTTCCTTATGAAAAAGTTTCTCTTAAATGCCCTGAGAAAATCTGGGGAATAATGTTTACAGTTTTTTTCAATGTATATGTTACTTTTGATTGGTCCAGTTTATCCACCAGGGCAAAGTTATCTAACAAATTCATTTTTCAGGCACAAACTTGGGCCACCTTCTGAGTGTGAAGGTTAGTAGTACAAGTCAATTACCCAAACCGAAGTAGGTGGTGCTGGATTCTAACCCGCGGCTTGGTGGATAAAAGTCGGCCACCTAAACCACTGAGCCATTGGTCCACTCAGATACCTCGTTTTCTTCAGTTTAATATGAAGTTGTAGAATTTGCTACCAGTACAAATTCATGTCATAATTTTCATTCTAATCAAGACTTCAATTTGTTCGTTTGTATACTAGTAGCTATGAAAATTGTCTATCGCCACGCAGCCATAACTTTTAAATCTTTCAATGATAATTATCAAAAGAAAACAACCATTCTTTATCATGGTACAATAATTATATATGCCTATCCATATATACAGAGTAGCTGAGAGTCTTTTAACATTAAGTGATCTCCAGTAAGTTTAGTAAACCTTAATCCATTTAGTGCGGTCCAGGTAACCGAGTATAGCATTTCTAGCCTTCACTATTTTATTCGAACATCCCGAAAATTTCATTGTTTTCAACTTTCCCAACAAGTAAATCACATAAACATTTACCATTCGACTATGATCCGTCATCCATCGATGAGCGTTTGACCCACCATTTTAACAATTGGCATGTATTTATAGTGCTACCCTTCTTCAAAATAAATGATTAACCTGGCTACGCCTGTTTTTTACCTTCATTTCCACCTTATTTTGTTCATTTTTCTGTATTATATTCAGTAATTAACATTACTGTCGATCATTTTTGAGCAGATTACATATAATGTCCCCTTCATTATTGTGTGTTCTATTTCTAAGTATTTAAATAAAACTGTAATATTTTATTTCGTTTATTATTTTAATTCTGTTTTCTCAATATTTTGACAATAACCTTCATCTATGTATTTATTAAAAAGTTGTTTATTTATGATGGTTTTCATATTTTACGTTTATAGTTCCCGTTTCTATTTGTTGACTATCATTGACACAGCCATTATCTGCTACTTAGTTTATCCTGTTTTTTTGTAAATAGTCTTTATGTAACTATTGAAGAAACCAGTCCTTTTTCGATCGTATTCTGGTGCATGTATATGCTTCATAAACTTCACAAAATGAGGTTTTTTTAGATGCATTGCTTATATTGTCATTAGTGTAATAGTACTACTGTATTGTAGACAAGTATCCTACATTGATTTCGAAATTGTCAACGTCATTCAACCGTTCGGTCTAAATGTTTTAACAGATTTAACGTGTGATATAATTTCTTTTTAGAAAATCAATTTCCACGGTCATTAATATTCAACACTTGTTTTCTCTGTCATTCATATTTGTTTCTGTTCTTATTTTCCTCTCCTTTTATAATCATGATTGACAAATATCAGTGCTGATTATTTCGAATCGGACTCTTGGATTCATATGAAAAACATTGATTTACCATGGTCTATTAATAATAATACTAATAGTTTACCAGAATTCTCATCTGATGAACGTCATCGTCTAATCACTTTATCAACTCGTCGACTTCCTCTTCAACCTGATAATGTTTTGGAAGAAAAAATTATATATTTAGGCCTACTCGATCTATTATTTGGTTATATATATGATTACAGAGTTCGTGAAGGTGAGACGATGTCCGAATCCGGTTGGAATATAGTGAAACTTGCAGCTACACTTTCATGGTTTGAGGTAATTTTCTTTGTCTTTTCTATTATTGTTATTCTTACTCTCCTCCCTTTCATAGTTGCATTATTAAGAGATTCAAATATATGTCACCCGGCTTCACAATCTGTTACACTGCCACTGAGCTATTAGGATATCAGGCAACTCTGTGTAGGATTGAGATATTTTAAATTGATTGTGACCAAAATTATGTTTGTCTAATACTGATCAATGTTTTGGAAAAAGCTTAACTTAATCGGACATAACATCTCTTTTTATCCCCGTTTTTACAGGTTTATCATTCCTTACCGGAAGTTGTTGTGTCATTCTATAGACGTGCTTTAACTTATCCTCTTGTACGAAGTTGGAGATTTTGCACACTTATCAAGCATGATGCTTCTCATCTTTTACAGCATACTAATAGTAAGGCTGATTATAATTCATATTCATTTATTCTTAATGATGAATTTTCTTCTCAAAAGAATCTATCACAACTACTGGCTATTTATTGTTGCTTTTCATTGGTAATTTAATTTCCATTAGCTTTAATATTATCTCCTAAAGATCTTAAGTCTTGATTTACTGGTTCAGTTACTTGACTATAAACTTCTCGGTTATTGATTTGTATTGTACTATAATTACTGAAGTTCCAATTACAGCTTATTATGAAAATTTGTACGTATGGAGATTTTTATAAAGTACCTATGGGAGAAATCTCAGGAGTACAGCTTCTTTGGAATCTTTTATTTCTCATGAAGCAAACTAAGGTTGATCTGTAAGAACGACCTTTGGTGAACTGAAGGAAGCTCTAAAACGTTCAGAAAAAGCCGAAGACATTCCATCCAATCATCTTTTGGAAATAGCCACAACAAAGATTCTACCAGAATAGCATGAATCATCTTTTGGAAGAACATTCCAGAATCTCGACGTGTAGCTTCCCGATTGGACAAATGCCAAAAACCACTGCATGCGAATTGGACGACTGTAATGATGATTTTGTTTTTACTAAAAACTATAAATACCTGAATGCGTTGTGCCATATTTGACACTGTTTGGAATAAGATTCCTTCCTACTCGTCTTTTGTTTTCTTACATACAACTTGGAAGGTTCTGGCGTTTGAGTACCCAGGTTTTACGCGGTATAGCAAGAATACAAGCTCTAGATATAATTTGATCAATAACGGGTCTTTAAATAACCACTTTAGAAGTTTATAAACTTCACGTAGATTCTTATTGTTTGATCCTCAAATGCATCATGATTTCAAAAAATACTCACATTTTCCAAGTTAGTCCAGTTTTAATAAACCTTTATGTAGAATCTAGCCACCTACTGATCCTTATGAGTATGAAGCACATGCATATGCCCCACTCAACTGTTTTGGAGACAAAACTAGCTTAAAATAGTCACATGCTTTGTTAATAACAAACTGAAATAGAAGACGTGCTTATTCGTATTGTGACTGAAATAATGGCATTGAATTTTTCATCTGAAAAACCATTATGTATAATATTACCCATACAAGTCAAGATCATATTAAATGATCCTTCAACCTTTATGTATACCCACACACCTCAATATGCACATGTAATGGAGGCGTGAGTAGTGTTGAGGCAGTTCAGTTCAATAAAGTCACATTTGTTACGAGGGTATATGAAGACCCGACATTGTTTCGTGGGGGAAGAAACGAAGGAGCAGAGCATAGAAGTCAGAAGGTTAAGTCAACTTCTTCGAAATGAAGATGAAAAACAAACTGGAAGCTGGAATATGACCACATGACCAGCCAAGATCTCTGCATGTAAGAAATAGAGCAATAACCTTTCAAACAGATTTTTCACGGAAAACTTATTCCTAAAAAGCGAAATTGCATTCTTTTACTCATTATGGTTTTAGTTCAACATTACTTCCTTTTTAATTCAATGTAATGATTATTCAGTGTAGTATCGTTTTGTTTCCAAATATGATATTTTATCGGGTATAACATTAGTTTATTTGAATGTGATGTGTTTGTTTAAAATACGATAGATATTCTTGTATTAAATTAACGTTAATTACATTCAGTATGACAAGCAGCATGTGATTTGTTACAACTCTAAGTATTTTTCGTGTATGTGATTTTATCATTATTAATAATCAAAATGGGGTGTACAGTCAACATATAATGAGTATATTTTCGATTCGGATCGTCGTCATGTTTTGGGGTTAATAAATCTCCACTTGTACCAGTCTTGGTGTTCTTACTTCGTTTCGTAGAGATTGAAATGGTTCCTGGTTTTTTTTTCCAAGTATAAGTAATAAACGGCGTTAATATAATAGCAACAAATAAGGTCCCATTGTGTTACTTTTCTTATCGATTGGTTGAAGGGTAGGGATCGTTTGTGGATTGTACAAATCGATGGTTTTTGTCACTGCGCTATTAAGTTTATCATTCGGAATGCGTATTCGTAGTATCTTATAGCATAGTGCAGTCGATAAACGTGTCAAATACATTGAAAATATTTGATCCAATAAAATTTGAGAACAATTCACTCTTTTGGTTACGATGCTGACAGTTCTTTTAATTTTATAGATAATTCTGAACGGTGATTCTTGTGGCGACATGTGACCAAAGTTGACTGTGTTCAATAATTAAGCTGTTAACTTCCATTCTCCTATCCTTATTGGCAACCGAGGGCCACAAGAATCGTCGTTTAAGTTCACTCACGAAATCGAGAAATCACCTCAATGGTTGTTTACATCAGAAATTTATACACTCCAGAAGCTATCGCAATTCATCCATGCAAACCTGACTTCTAGGTGTAAAAGTGTCATATTCAATACATTATTTTGCCACATATCCTAATTAAGAATATCTTTTGAATGCTATTTCGTTTTTTTTTCTGAAGCAAATCAAATACAAAAACAGTGCAACTGTCCTCTCACGATTATTTCTTTTCCTCTCTTCTGACCTTTTATCTTTCCTTCTTTTCTTTAGCCAAACAATGGTGTTTGAAGTGTCTATTAGAAATTCGTGAATTTTTGATCGCCTATCCTGGCTATCATGTATTCGCTGAATTATATCTAAATGATTATATTGTATGGATTCAGACGCGAGCATGGTTAGTTTTGTAAAAGTTCAATATGTTATTATCTGTCATGTATATGTTAAATCTCATAATTGATAGTTAATTCATTATCATACTATCGTTATCGCCTGAAAGCTCCGAGTTCGATACTTGATGAAGTTTTAGCTGTGTAATTCTATGGAGTCTCATGCTCATTCGAAGCAACTATCCAGTGCACCCTGGTTTTCAATAGTTGTCTAAACAAGACCAGTCCGTGATATAAACTATGAAAACTTAATCTCTACAAACCCCCCTTTATTTTAGAGATTAAACGTTCACTCACCCAACTGAAGGTCTTGGATCAGACGCGCACTGCTGAGAAGTTTCATACTAGAACGAAACAACTGTCGTAGTTTTCCATGGTGGTCTAACCAAAATCAGTTCGTTGTTTTTACTATATAAATTCAATAAATATACTTCTATCTAATATTTACTAAAATCTCTGACTACTTAAATGTATTTTGATAGTCTCTCTTTCATAGTTTATGTAGGCTTTCTCAATGACACTTTCTATGATGCATAACATATTATTTCTTTTTGTGTATTTATTTAGTGAGTCAAATTTACATGATCTTGGCAAAAGTTTAGAGGAAGTAAGTTCATTCATCTCCCTTATGTTCAAAAGAAATGTATATCCTGGTTTATTTATTTGTTTCGTTTTTATTATGACATCTGTATATTCTAATTATATTACTTACAAGTAACTAATATTTTATTGCACAATTTATTATTTGTGTCATCTTGGTCGATTTGTAAATTAATTACATTATTATTGGTTGATGTCTCGTTCTAGCCATTCCGCTTATCATCTCGAATCTTAATATTAAGTCTAAACCAATCGTTGATTAATTTAGAACTATTTATTCACTTATATACTTAAGTTACCCTAAGACTGGTCTCCATCAGTGCCTGAGCTAATGATAAGTAATGAAGTAGTTTAGTCTATCTACTGCTTCATTTATCTTAGGAGTATATGTATCATTGTTTGACTGAATATCTGACTGATCCATAAGTTCCACACAGCCAAAATAAAGGTCTTGTTACTTTAATCAACCTTGAGTACATTATTACAGTGAATCATACCACATTCTGATTGAAGAATAAGTTTTAATTGTTAATAAACTATTACTTTGTTCTATCATTAAAAAAATAATGTTTACAAGATTAATAATTTCATTCAACTCTATTAGTCAATCTTCTGTAATGTTAAACTAATCAGAAACAATAAATCTGTAAGAATTTTCATATTTTACCTCAATATCAGTAGAACGTAGATCAGTATTAGAAAAATGTAATTGAAGCTACCTAAAGCAATGATACTAATTGCAATAAACTATTAAAGAAGGAAATGGTATGAGAAACAAGTGTTCAGGTGTTCAAATTATAAATGAATATGCTGAATTAATATATCTCCACCAATGTGACTGACTTTAATTCATTTAACATTCAAAGTTCACAGAGATTTAGATGGTGATCGGAGGTAGTCGACAGGAAACCCTGGACCCGGGTTTCGTGCTACTTGGCACTCATCAGCAAGGTGTACCTGTAATCTTGAGGGAACTGGTGCTCCCTGGCGGACTCGATCTCGTGTCACCCAGTTTCACAGTCAGAGACGTTACCACTGAGCTATCCGAGCCGTGGGGATCAATTTCATGCGTGTCTAGTCCTTATTAGTGCCGATCGACTGGACACGCATGACATTGATCACCACCCAGTGATCAATCAATTGTGAAAATTCATAGAATTTGACTGTTTGTTCAACTTTTGCGTCGAGACTATAATTTATGAATAAATTAATCAGATTTGTGATAGCAAGTCTTGGATTTTGGCGTGAAATTTATTTATCTATATGGTTAAATAGCATTTTGGCATCATATCTGATGCCAGTTCGTGATGAAAACATTAACTCTAATTCCTAATCCTAACTTCTAATTCTAAATCCTTATTCTGATTTTCTATACTAGTTTATTAGCCTCCTTAGACCCCAGTAAGTTGGTTAATTTTTTCAAAGTCACTTCGGCGACGGTCAAAGGTTGTCCTTAAACTATAGTCTCACCACTTTTGCTAGGAAGCTTATGCTTATTCTGACCTAACTAATAATGACTTTGTAGTTTGGTGTTGTATATTTGGCAATTGGAGGTAAGATAGGGTTAAAGCCTTGGATCTATGTTCTATATTGACTAGTTGAGTTATAACATGACCAATATAATTAAATCAGCGCATAAAACTAGACGGTACGGTATTGATAATAACCAAGTAATCACTTATTGTGTAAACGTCTCAGTTGCATAAGTACGGTATGATCCGAATAGCTACGTGTAAACGATTCTGACTGTGATTCAGGTTTGAATCCTACGCAGAACATCATTTAACTCAAGATAGTAATACAGATTACTGACTAATCCCAAATAACACGGGACGTAGGTTAAGAAGAGCTCCTTTCAAATCGCCTCTAATTACGTAATATCGAATAAAATGCATGGAGTTGCTGAATCAGATAATACTAACTGGTACTAATCAGTGTTACATCTTTTGTAACCATCCTTTTCCATTTTCCAATCTACTTCATTGTAAACTAGCATAGCAAACTATGGTTATAGGTGGTCGGGATATAAATACCTCATCTTCCTTTTAGCCACTCATAGTTCATAATCTCATCAACTAGCTACTTTATGTAAATGGATAAGTTGGATAAAAAGTTTTAAGATTTCATTTTATTTTATTTAAGAAATAGTTAAACAGTGAAAACATTGTTGACATAAACATAAACAAACTCACAATATACTCGTGTCATAAGTTCCCTTCAAAACTTATTCAGCTATATTTCGTCACAATTTCTCCTTCTAACAGAGTTCTCTTTTTTCTTTCGTTTTCATTTCCGGTAATAGTTTAAAATGAAAAAAGATTTTGTCGAATTGAACTTGAAACAAATTGAACAACTTGGTCATGAATGTTTAAAAATGGAAAAACTACAAGATTCATTAAAACAAATGTCATTTTCTGTGAATGACATAGAAGATGAAAAACCGAAACCTTTACAAACTTAAACTGAAAAATGTTCAGAGATTCTTTACACACTTTCCCTTTGTATATTTAAAAACTTATTTTGTTTTCTTGTATCCCTGCTCCCTTAAAACTTATATTTCTATATTAAACCATATTTTATTCATCGAAATAAATTTATCTATAACTATAGTGGAGAAATCCCAAACCTATTCTCTTTGGGTTTAAACTTTTTAATAACCATATACGTGACCATTATTAATTTACGGTTGTCAAAAATCTTATAAACTACTTATAAAATAGTAAGTAGCTAGTTGTTATAACAGATGAAAATCGTATGAATTATGACTGTCTAAATCGTATGTTGATCACTTTTAACAATTGAATTGCTATTGACATGAGACATCTAATAAATGTATATCAAAGGACATAACAAGTAATTGCTAAGGAGATTTGTTTTATATGACAAGATGATACTTGCGTACAAAATATTCAACATGAAAATAACCCCACAAGTCAACATCACTTAATGTGTAAATAACGGTGCGATATGAGTTTTGTAGAAGAATATTAAAACAATTATGATTTAGAGTTATTATTCACACCCATGCATTAAGAACTAGGTTTTTCCACCTTCGTACTCCTCAAACATTTTGCCAGAAAGTATTGGTAATTTTAAAAATGATTTAATCGGTTATTATGGTTCAAAGATGGATATAATAGCCAATAATTGTGCAGCGATTAACTTTCGTATTTACGTTATTACTAGCTCGGATTCAGTTATATTCAGAGGTAATTTGTTTGTTAACATACTATGTCTTCATGTATTTGGCAAAAAATTGTGTCCGCTAGACATATTGAACATATATTACTTTACAGTTTTGAAATATAACTCAATGTTGAAGTTACGGATAGTATAATCGTGTTGAACCCTAGTGCCTTAAAAGTTTAACTCGTGTATGGTGTAACCTCAGAATTAAGGAATAAAAATGTCAAACTTGGAATACTAGATAGAGATGATGAGTCAGTTAACAAGGTTGTGAACTTTTATCAACCAAAGTGGCTACTGTGAATGTTATATACGCCTAGTCACCGCTTTCCCAACGTACTATACTGACTAATATGGACGGTAGTTGAAAATATATGAAATATCACCTACAGGATTTGATATTTTTGAATAAACTTAATCGACTACTTATAATCAAACAGCAATTTTAACACTCGCAAAATAATAACGTGTAAGGAAACAATGTGAAGAACTCACTCTTTATATAAACAGGAAAAGATTAGAACTTAGTTTAGAAGTTAATTATTCTGTATTTTGTAAACCATATTAAACAAATTAATTGTATTTGTTTCTTTTCTCTGGGGTGATTTTCATCGATATACAGTATATGGATGAAACGTACTCCATATCATGTTCACTGTGCAATGCGTTCTTTAGCTTATTTGTATAAAACATCATTGACTTAAAATCAAGACTCGGTAGCTGAGTGGATAACGCGATGGCGTTTGAAGCGAATGGTACTGGTTTAGAGTCCCAGAGTGAACATCAACTCTGAGATGCAGGTACATCCGGCTGACGAGTTCCAAATGGGACGAAGCGCGCGTCCTGGATTCTACTGCTAGCCACTATCCATCATTGCTTACAAAAAGCTTATGAACTACGGCAATATCGAGGCATACACACAGTATGCACATATGCCAATAACAGACTGATCAGTTGCAGTCTTAAACCTCAATGGGAAGATAGAAGCCAAACAATACCAAGTGAACATCATTGACTTAGCTGAGATATTAACATAATATAGTGCACAGCCAACATATAGTCAGCTGTAATGCTATCAAAACTATTTTCCTCAGATAAAGCTTTCTTACAAAGAAAGATTCATTTGTTTTGTTATCTAGACATGTAGTTTGTTACATAATCACCAGCTTAAAATGATTTCTATAATGCTACTTATTCACACAAAAAATAGTGTTTGAACATTTTGGCTAATAATTATAAAGATAAATTTCGCTTGTGCTGGAAACGTATGCTGTGACAGAAGAAAACTTACTTGCTACAGGAAATCCTGATTCACACAATGCAAAGAAGAAAATATCAGACTAGGACTTATTATGCAATTAAAATAAATCAAGGCTACATCAGCTGAATACACTGGTTTTTATGTACTTTAATAACACTGGTCAATCGTCAGATTTATATAAATCGATTTGAGTAGTATTTTACATCGATTAATTCAAAAACTTACAGTAAGAACACAATTTACAATCTTATCATAAGATTAAATTACTGTGACCAACACATGTAACTAAGATATATATTACTCCTTCTTTAAATCTGATCACATGAATTGAAGAAAATCAATTCATAGGCCATTTGTACTCCAATAAATTAAGACGTTCCCCTATCAGATCAAGATCTAAATGAGAACAAATTCAGTAATCTCTACAAATCGTCTATACTAGTATTTAATATATGCTCTTTTTATTTTGATACCAACTGGATCACTTTGTAAAAAGACTCTTCAGAATGGTTTATTAGGGTTTAGGTGGATGAAATGTACTTCCCTGAGCCTGATTACCATCTAGTGTCTGAAATAGACAGGTAAAGAGATATACGTATTACATTTGTGTTTTTTTAAATAACCTGAACTTTTATCGACGAAAGATGTAAGGAGACCTGGTTCTGATTTATACGCCAACCATGGGTTGATTTCTGATCATGAAATTTAAAAGCGTTACACATCCTTCTCGTCACTAAAAGAAGGTAAATTTAAATGTTCTTATTTATCATGCAAATAGTTCCTTTTACCATTTCGAAAAGAGCAAGAACAAACATTTTAGCAGAATAGTATGGATTCATTTTATTTCGTAGGTTCTTGTCAGCTGCTTACAACCTGTGATATTTAAAATCATAATTACGTAATGGGTTTAAATTATATGGAAGAGTTTGGTTGGAAGTAATATTGAAGACATTAGTATAGTGTATCAAGGGTGTAAATAAATAAATAGACTGAATATTGTAAATATATAACTTATGTGAAAGAACATTCTACAACATTGATTATGACAACAGTTTAAAAGGCCAGATACAAGTGATGAGTAGTGAGTAAACATTCATAGGAATAAAATGAGTAGAGCTCCATTGATAAAATAAGATTATTAATTTAGAAGATAGTTGTAATAAAACTCAATGATGTAATAAATACAAGAAAGAGTTTAAAGAAAGATAATAAAACATTTTAAGATGTAGCGAAGGAATATTTGTCATCAAGGCAAAGAACGATTAATAACCATCTGCTTTTGAACACATAAGTCAAGTTTTTGACGCTTAATAGCAACGGTTTCAGAAGATTGAAGTTCGGCTTCATATTATTCACCTTAAAGGATTGCAAGGTATCAATCTGATGTCCTATATCAAGGAGATGTTTAAAGTCTTCCTATCTCTTGTTCTGAGGCTTTTTGGAACATGTTCAAAAAATCTAAGATATACCCTTCTATCTACAAAGAATAAATACTTAAACTACATTCATCCTAATGATTACAGACTGTAAACCGTTATCAGTTCCCTTTAAGCTAGTAAAAGGCATCTTTTAACATTAAGGCAAGTAAAATAATTGTAGAAAATTGATCATTATTATTCATATCATCAATAGTTTCATTTCATAATGTATTACAGTGTACATTTTTATGTTCTATACCATAACCTTAACTAATGAGTACTTTTATGGAAAAGAAATAAAAGTTCCTTAAATTAAAATGATTTAATAGTGAAGGTAATAAGAAGAAAATTTTAAAAAGAAACCAATATACAACTACCCAATTTAATTATGGTTGTTCCTATGGTGAGAGACCTCTCATTTTTATCATTCTTCCTACCTCTTTTTTCCCTTCCTTCCTTCCTTCCTTCCTTCCTTGATTTGTTACAATGACAATATGCATTTAGTTGATTCTTTCTGTAAATAACTAACTATTTAAATTATTATTTTTATTATTTTGTTTTCTAAAAATAGACTTTTCTCAATGAAAAGAAAAGAGCTTCCTTTTTTGCTAAAAAGAAAAAATAATTAAAAGTAACCATGTAATTTTGAAAAGGATTAGAGAAAGAAAAAGAGAAACTCTTCCTTTAGTTGTTCTAGAGTTACTGTTGATCTCAAGCTCGAGTAAAGGAAAAAGGTTGGGCATAGGGTTAACAACTCCGTTCCGTAGAAAAGGATTGCTAAAAAAAAGAACACTAATCCGTATGATTGACTTTGTTTCTAGATATGGGTTAAGGTTAATAAGTCAAAACCATGTTTACTAATACATGAACTTGACTTTGAGCCATATTTGATGTTTATTGGTTTAGTGATACTGTAATGAATAAAAACTAAACATGGGGAGAATCAATTTTCCGTTTATCAAAAAATCACATTTAGTGAAATATAGAAATCATGTATTAAATACATCATTTGCACATCTTCATTGCGTTATCATTTACGTACTCCATTATTCCTCTAATTCTGTTGTTACTTTGATTAACCTCCAATTTCCTTCCTGTTATTTTTCACTTCAATCTTCTGTTAGGCATTCGAATTCCGATATAAGATATCTGTCAACATAAATAGCATACACCACAATACTATTTGGTTACTGAAATCATAGAAGATGGAGTGGGGTTTGAACCTGTTACTTTGTGACTTAAAACTGAGCACTTTAACCATTGATCTACTGGTTTATATGAAAACTTTATGAAGTTTATAGTAATAAACAGTATTTGTACCATTGAGAAACAATTTTTACATTTCCTAAATGAAGATCAACTTTATAGTATAACACATATTCAAACAACACATAATTTATATCATCATAGGCTGAATTTAGCTAGATACTTATTGAAAAACAGGTATTTCTTTGAATAGCCAAGTCAACTCATGAAGTAATTGATTGATTGTACAGTGCCATATAAGTAAATGAAGATGATCTAGTTGAAGTCTATGGGATTATCATAACTAATTGTTAAAGACTTTGAATGACATGATCATAATAAGTCAAAATAGTTTAAATGTTTTTTAAGCGTTTTTTAGCGAGTTAGTTTTCTACGGGATGGGGCCGCTAACCCCATGCCCATCCGGGCTTCTGACCAGCAGTAGCCCCCAGAGGGACTCCAGGCGGAGTTAGTTTAGATGTACACATTCTTTATGTTGTCTCAGACTTGAAG